TCCATCTAACCCCTAAATGGCGTAGTTTTCCTGTGAAATGCTAAAATAAAAAACGAGTTTCTCATCCCTTCCCCTGATCGGAGGGATTCTAAAATTTCGGTGTGAGTCAATGGTCATTATGTCACAAAGCAGTGTATGAATCAGGGGTTGAAACCGGAACCGAAAAGAACCGGTACCGGAACCGGTTCCTGATTGCATTAAAATGCCCCTCACTGGGAACCGGAACTGATTATTTAAGAAGTTATGATATCCGGAACCGATACCGGTACCGTTAGTGCCAAAGAATAGGTATTTTTCGGTTCTATCACTGTTAGAGTAGGCACGTTGCGCTATGTGTGGGGGAATTGCGTTTTATATGCTCTTAAAATTTGATTCTGATGCGTTTTCTTAGATTTAATATTATTCATTTAGCTTATATCATTGAATAATAATTATTCAATGCTTATATACAGGATGTTCACCGAGGAATGGTACAGCGCGATATCACGGGAACGAATATAGGGTTTGAAATTCTTAAAACTTTGTTATATGTAAATGTAAGCTAGGGCCATATATCTTATTTACGTAAACGAGACAGGTTGGGAGCACATATAAGTAAAGTTATCACAAATATCGTTGGTCTAGCGCACAAAGGTGCTAAGTATCAATTAAAATAAGTTTTGTTTTTGAACGAATTATTTTTTTTTTGTAAACTGTACACAACTGTTTGATGATACTTTGAATAAACCCTTAACTTCTTCATTACCTAATGTATTAAACTCATGTTGCACTAAATTCCAAAAATCGAATTAAAAGTAGCATATTCCATTTAAAAGAATTCAGTTAGGTAGCGCCCCCTGGCGATAGCCCATTTCATTTAAAAACTTTTTCACAAAATATTTCGCCTTCGATATAGCCCTAGCTTACATTGATAACAAAATTGTAATAATTTTAAAATCTGCATTCGTTTCCGAGATATAAAATTTCAAAACCCAAAAATCCAAATTCACCCTTTTATTCAGAGCTATCCACTAATTTCTTAACTTAACCTTAATACCAAACAAATATAAAATACCTATTTTAGAGTGACTAAGATCGAAAATGAATCAAAAACAGTAAGAGGGTTGAGAAATGTATAAGGAAAGCATAATAGTTGAAACTATACTGCTGAAGAAAAGGAAACTAGGAAAAGACAGGCAGTTGACAGTAGTGAAACGAACTAAAAATAAGTTTCAATTAACCGTAAACAATATGTAAGTATGTAAAAGAATCAATGTACTTTAATTTTGTGTATTATTATTTGTTTTCTATAATTAATAATTTATGTTTTTTAATCATATTTAATTTATTTATGTTGGAACCCTTAAAAACCGAAAGAATTGGAACCGGAACCGAAACCAAAAATTACTGAAGCCACAGGACCGAAACCCTTAACAATAATTCTACCTAAATAGGTCGGAACCGGAACCTATATTTCGTATGGGTTCCAACTCCTGCCTCCTGGTATGAATAGGTGTAAGGTGTCATTAAATATTCTCTTCTTTTATTGCAGATAGAAGGCTACGGCAATGAGAGAGTGAAGGAGAGGAGAGTGAAGGAGAGGAGAGTGAAGGAAAGGAGAGTGAAGGAAAGGAGAGTGAAGGAGAGGAGAGTGAAGGAGAGGAGAGTGAAGGAGAGGAGAGTAAAGGAGTGGAGGGTGAGGGGTCGTAGCTGTTTGCATATCTTTTTTATCAATAGTATATTGAAAGACAAGTGTTACAATGCGACCTATTGTAATACGACTATCTTGTGGCACAAGTGGCGACGCGAAGCGTAGCCACGAGTGTCCGCAAGATAGGAGTATTACAATAAAGCATTGTAACACGAGTTTTTCATTCTATTTTTTCTATTTCGGTGCTTTAATTTAATTAAAAAAATCATTATCAGAAACTAGAGGGAACATTAGAACTAACATGTTTTATGTTGGGAACACTTTTTATGCCGTTAAGTTTTAGGTTGGCAGCGTAGTAAGACTGCAATGTAAGACTGACATTTTGAAGTTTAAACATGGAAGTACCCAACGAAGTACCTACTTGTACTAACTAGTAACTGCCAACTTAAGAGATGAGTTACCAAAAAGAAACGACTATAATCACTGTCTTTGTACAACTGTTTTCGGCCGAAAACACTTGTACATCATCATTGTGACACCGAAATAGAAAAAAATGTGTGTAATAAGATTTCCCTTTTTGAGTAAAATATTTAGCTCGATATTTAGTTTTGATGAAATCAAATCATTCTCAAAGGCGTTTTTTCCCAAATGTAAAAATGTTAATCAACTTTGAGGTTTTGGTTTAGTGGCGATAAGATAAAAGTTGTTAATACATCTAATCGATAAAGAATTTTATGCTCTACAAAAAAAAGTAAATACACTTTTTTTGATAAAGAGTGTAGAGTTTGAGTTATCCTGTAAAACGCCAGAAACTAAAAAAAATATATCGTTAGAGGGCTCACCCTTCCCTGCCAGAGGGAACGGATGGCTCCCCATCTAAAATTGTTTGTTTTGGGCCAATATACAAATGTGGAAAGCAGCTTACTTTAATCATCAAACGCCCTATAATCGAATTTTTCGGCTATTGGAGGATATTATTAGTTGAAATTGAACGAGAGAAAGGACCTACGAGTGGAGTTATTCTGCGGATAAAATTGGACCTCCGAAAATTGTCAGCCTGCATACCACAATATGAATGCAACCGTCTGTCATCAGTAAATTGTAAACCCCATGGTTTGGAACAAATATAAGAATTATTTAAAGCGGCACTTTACCCACTTTAGCCCTGGGCTTACCCAAAATACTAATATAACTGTCGATGGAATAACAATTAATAAACAATGATTATACCTTAAGTAAAATATACCGATATACGTAAGCGCCAATATCTAGATGAAACAGAGCACCTGTCCAGATTTACAAATTTTCCCGTGCATTTTGACGTCACAGTAGTCAGTATCCGAATCTATATCGACATATTATAGAAATGGACCCCGCGTACCAATGCCAAGCGCGAATACTGCAGGTGAGCGAGAGGGGACACTAACAGGAAAGCGCTCTCTTTATCGCGCTTGTGTTGGTCGCACTGCCACAACTATTGTCGATTGTATAATTTGTACATGCCACCAACAAGAGCGCGCTTGCCTCTTCCCTCGCGCATGTATCGTGGCATGCCAATATTTGCTTTTGTTTATAATCCCTATCCCTAACCTAAATTTCTAATTTCATTTTATATGATAATGGGAAAAGCAAAGAAGAGATAGTGACAGTGGTATGCACGGACCTCTTGGTATAGGCTTTGAATGAATAAACAAAGGTATACTAAAAATGTGTTCAGCCAATTTAATCGCCGCCTGAAATTTGGTGCTGGAAACGGTTGTCATAAGCGCTGATTCGCTGAATACGGCTGAACGCGCCCATAGTCTAAGTTGCATCCGGTGGCCTACTTAATTGTTTACTCATTTATCTAATAAATCAAAATGTTTGCATCTGTAATCTAAATATCATTGAATTTATGAGATAGTTATAAATTCAATGCTAATATGTAGAATGTCGGAAGTGTGTCATGACTCCTCCCTTTGCTACGCCACTGTTATCCCAATAAAAAACATTCAAATTTTAAGCGCGAAATTTGAATTCACTAGCTAGATCTTTGACATTGATAATTCCCAAAACAATGAAGGTCGTAGGAAAATAGAATAATTAAATTATGCCTAAAGAAAAATTGTTAGAATTCGAACCACATATATTTAATTTTGATTAAAATGACTAAAAAAGAAGGACATTATTGTTTTCTTTTCACTTACCTAGTTAGGGGTCTGCATAATTACAATCCACGTTCACGTAATGCGTCTATTGCTACACAGTACATACTTCCGTACCAAGGTTTTATTTTAAAAGTGACGAATCCTTCGACCAATTAAACCGACGAAACTTATAACTGATAGCGTTCTGGTTTTTACTATTTGCCCATTTTGTTTGCCAAACTTCACTAATCACTATAATTATTTATAAATTTAAAATACATAGTGACAGTCAATAACCTAAAGTAGGTATATAGGGTGAGAAATAAATGTTTTCAAATAAGAGGTACTAACCTCAAACTGCCGAAGACAAAAAGGTAGATTAACTGCACAATGAATATCGAATTACGTAAACTTCCACCAAGTTCCTTGCGAGGACTTGTGCAGATATTAGAGTGTAACGATTCGTGGAAAATTCTAATGGACAAAATCCCAAAGTTACTCGAAAAGGAAAATTACGAATGCTCTCTCAGTCTGACCAATGTGAGAAAGTATCGTACGGAACATTTTAAGTAACATATTTCCAAATCGTTGACTATCCTGGTAACATTTACATTGTTGCAGATTAATCGAAAATGCATCCAAGACCACCGGCCGAGCGTGTACTGAAATATTATTCGACGAATGGGGTACTTCAGGCCGTATTCGTCCCGCCTTAGGACACCTGTTGTTCTTACTTACCTCAGTGGAGCTGTTCGCAGCCGCTGACTATGTTGCCGTTAAATTACTGAATAAGGAGCCTCCTGCGCGGCCTTCGGATGGCCCTCCTGCTCCAGTTGTAATTCCGACCATGCCGGATAAACAGATTCAGGAAGTAGAAAGGATATTAAACGAAATCAATTATCCCAGCTCTGTCATTTCGATGCTCAATAGTAATTCGGGCGATGTTAATGTAAATCGTAGTAGTGGTAGCAACCAAGTTATTGTGCCTCCGAAAATTGTGATTAGTGAAATCACAGATTTCACACCTCTAGTTATCGATCGCTCGAGTGAAAGTCGGCGACAGCGTTTGACGCGACAAAATGCGAGTGCTCCTGTTTCAGATATGATTGTGTTTTCGCATACTGTGAGAGAAGCAGAAGAGGTATCAGATATGATTCACTTTTCTCAGACGGTGTCAAGTGCCAGTAATATTGTTCCACACATATCTGATTTGATTGATTCCGGTTCAAATAACCAGTCTGAGGAATCTAAAACTTTAAGCTGTGGGGATATCAATCAGTTGAGCACCATTTTACCAGATTTAAGTGCCTTGGATGTTGGTGCTAATGCTGCAACTTTACCAAAGGAAGAAATAAGTAAGTAGGTATACCTCATCGAGTACCTCATAGTGTAGGTACACCAACGTTCATTATTTCTGAATCTCTCTCTCCCACCAAATTTTTACTTATGCACTCGCCGCGTTAAGAACCCGAAACGAACCCAACGAGAACCAAGCTTCGGCTATGTTTTTTATACATGAAAGACCGTCCCTCATGCTCAGTAACTACGGTTTTTTGAGTCTGTGGCGTTTCGACGCTTATTTGGTTTTACACTCGCTTTTTATCTTAACGCGCTTCATTTTCTCGCATATTAGTTACATTCTCTTAAACCAGGGGTTGGCAACCTTTTGTTGTAGAAGGTCCAAATCGAGGTCCAAATATTTTACTGGGAGGTTATGGGTTACACATCTCGGATTACATGCAGTTACAGTATTCCTACAATATTTCTGTATTTAAAATTTAAAATTAAAAAAATTATCAAAGTCTTCAGCGCATTTTTGGGTGCAGAGCAGTATTCTATTATCCAGTTTTTACTCTCTTGTTGGGGGCTACTACATTATCCTTTTGTCAAAATGTCAAAATATTTACGTGTCGGTATTGTATCAAAATCCTACATTGATTTACACACCTTTGTAACAATACCATAAACAGCCATAAACCAATGTTATTTTACGTCAAAATTATGTGATACTTAGGTTGTACAAAAATAATAAAAATGATTTACTGTCTTCTTTACTAGCAATTCAAAATCTTAATAATAAATTGAACTCAGCTGGAAGATTCTTATTGTTTAATATTAATTCGTCAATTGGGAAAATATACTTTCTTTCATATGAGTCCACACACGATAAATCATATAGGTACATTTGGATTTTTCCAAGCTGGTTGAAGTTCCCACTTAACACACAAATAAGTGGGTACATTAAACGTCTAGTGTTCTAGCGAATCTCGCCATCTATCAGGACTTCTTGGCGCCTCAAGTTTTCACACGCATTGAAAAAATCAGGACCACTCTGTTACATACAAAATCGAAATTCTACCAAATAATGATACTACTTTTTAATGGATATTTGTAAATGCATAGTGGGCTTGAGTTGGTAGAACAGCCTTGACCGAAACCCCGGCCATTTAAGTCCAAAAATGAAATAAAATATATTTTGCATGACCAAGTTAAAAAAATTGTGCACAACAAAATTCAACTGCAGACTCTGAACTGAGAATCGCATACGATTTTCAGTAGTCGCCGGAGCGCTGTTGGGCAATTTTTGCCCCTGCTCAAGGACGGTAAGTTTTGGAACTCCACTAGACCCAATCCAATCAGAAAAGGTTTGCTGCAACACAATTTATTAAAGCTATGGTTAATTTTACTCATTGAAATGGTAGCCCAGTAATTCCCATTGTTACTTGGAATTTCGGACCAACAAAAAGGCGTCTTTTTTTATCTATGGAAACTGCACGCTACGGCGACCTTTTGCTTTTAATGCTGGTTTTGAATTAACCTAGGGAAACTAAAATCATCTAATAATTTATTTTCCCGTAATCTTCTAAAGGGCAGCTACCGTTTTCTTAAAAACGAAGCGCCCAATTTTTCGGCTATATATACCGGGTGGTAATTAAAGCTGGTAAACTTCAAAGCGGAAAACTGGTGCTTCGCTACTCATTGAAAAAAACAATTGGTAGTGTTTTTTCAAATGCATTGTCATTACACAGTTGATGACTTTAAAAATATCGTTTGTAATTTCAGGGCCTGATTAAGGTTTCTGTAGGCCAGGGCCAAACATATTAGAAGGCTGAGTAATTTACATTGTAACATTTTAAAACAGCAACTAGACATAGTATTTCTGTACGTAATAGCTAAGGTTAGTTATTTAGTTACATTTGCAGGTTCCGCTATCCAGTCAAGTGAAAAGGAACAAAACGTACCTGCGCTAAGTGAACTTTTCCCCGAGTCATCGCCACAAGAGATTGAAATTCCAAATCTAAGCATATTGAATGCGGCCCAACCAAATCAATCACAGTCGAGTCAATCCATAGTGCCTCATTTTGACGTTCTACTATCAGAGCCCAGTAATCTGTTACCTGTGATTGACATAACCGCGACAACCGATTCGTCATCCGAAATCGGTTCGTTGAATTCAAACAGCGGCTCTAACGCCTCGCACAATACGAACGTATCGCAGGGTTCGCAAAGGACGTGCGCCTCGCCGTTACCCAATTTAAGTCTCAATACGGTATTGCCGCATTTCGCTTACGCCGACATCGAAGTTGCCACTGATCACTTTGACACGACACCTTATGTGGAGGGGGGCAGCGGGCGGTTTCTCGGATCGGGCGCTTTCGGTTCCGTATTTCTCGCCTTAAATATCGGCAATAAACCGGTCGCAGTGAAAAAGCTCTTCTTGAATAACGAGGCTGTTGTAAACATCGAGGATCCCGTAACGAAGCAATTTAGAAACGAGGTGGAAATTCTAAGCAAGTACAAGCATGAGAATTTGCTTTCGATTATAGGGTACTCGTGCGATGGGCCTACGTATGGTCTACTGTACGAGTTTATGCCAGGTGGAGCGCTTAAAGATAGACTTCAGGTTAGATTCGTTTGGCTATGAAGTGCCACTCTAATCTTAGTTTCTAGAGTGCAGATCAAAAACTGATATGGACCGATCGGATGTATATCGCTTTGGGAACAGCAAGGGCAGTTGCCTATTTGCATACTGCATACACAACTCCATTAATTCATCGAGATATAAAATCCGCAAATATTCTCTTAGATGCTAATAATAAACCGAGGGTGAGTAGAAGTTATTGCTTGACCTATCTACTATAGCTGGTAAAAATTAATAAAATTTATTTTGTACAGTATGCTATTTGTTTACGTGTCTGCATTCCGGCAATAATACTTACTCTCTTTATTTTTCAGTTATTTCCGTTTGCCTTTTTATTACTTTTTTTCTAACACATCGCTTATTAATTTGTTTAAACCTTATTTATGTGTCCTTTTATGTTTAATGTAAGTTATTTATATTTCAGTTATGTGATTTTGGATTAGTACGATTACTAACCAGTTCGAACACAAACACAAGTACGACCGCTTTTGGTACATCCGCCTATATGGCCAGAGAAGCGTTTCGGTGCGTGTGATACATACAAACACTTACTTAATTTAATAACTCATTGTAGAGGAGATGTCTCTGTAAAAGTAGATACATTCAGTTTTGGAGTCGTTTTGCTCGAGCTGATAACTGGTTTGCCACCTCTAGATGAAAATAGGGAAGGTTTAGATATTGTAAGTTGAAATTTTTTTGTTTAAAAATAAATTGAACTAGTCGTCCTGATTAGGTCACGCATGTGGAGGAAGTATGCGAGGATAATTCTGGAACTTTCACGCTCACCGATACGAAAGCTGGATCGTGGGTTGCCAAGGGTAAGAATTTTTCTGAAGAACTGTATCAGATCTCGACAAAGTGCCTGGAAGAAAATAAGAAAAAGAGGCCAACAATGGTCGAGATCAGTGAATCTCTGGCCCAGCTTATTAAGGAATCTGCATAACAAAAGCTAGTTTTTACACTAAGGGCCGTTAGTTTAAGTTGTGATAGTGAACCAAATGTCTCATTAGAGGACCAAGATACAAATATGATGGAAGAAATGTATAAAGATATGTTATCTGTAGATAATAGTTTGAAACTGTTGAATCTTTTAATTTCTATTTGCTATTACATTCTACAGCTTAATTTTGAAGTTTTTATTGTATGTTTAGTGAAGGTCTGAAGTCCTTTACCTTTTTTTTTTCACAAATGCTTACGTCGCTTTGGTAATACCATAGTATATATTATGGTAATACTTTGTGTTGTCCCCGGTGTATAAGGCCAATGTTTAAATGCCAACATCAAACATCTTGAACTGTAGGTACAATTAAAGAATCGACTAATCGAGGCAAATACAGTTAAACACATTCATAAAAACAAGATACCAGTAACATAATAAATACAACATGAAAAGTAAGATATAGTGCAAAAACACATTAAAAATATCTACGTCAAGTGCCGACAAAAACAACTCTTAAAATGATAAATTGCATGTACCTAAACATCAAAATAGGCATGGCTTTTTTCCAGTATCGGTCACAATTGAACACAAAAAGAGTGCATGTAGGAATGCGAGCAAGCCATTAGCCCACATACCCACTAAAGAGAAGAAAAGTTATTAGAGGGTCCCTTCTCCCATAATGCCTATAGTTAAACACCGTCCGGTAGCCGCTTATGAGATGAAAAAGAAACGGATACAGAAGAAGAATTAAAACTATACTTACTCCGCGGGATAAACGGTTAATTGAATCATACAGGGCAATACGCACTAGATGATCGCTTTTCTTGTGAGTACCTACATAAAAGAATAGCTACTTTTATAATAAATTTATCCTGTAAAACTACTTACTAGACAATATTTCGAATATTTGCGAAATAAGAAGAATGGGACAAACATTATCCAACAATGCTCATAAACATCTTGTGATGATAATACACCCAAATATTTTCTGTCTGTCCTAGGTTCATCTAACAAGCCCATCGATATGGAAAAAACTACAAGCAGAGCCACATACCTTTCAAGTCGAAACGATAGACGTTTCGCGGCACTTTTGAATTTGGATGGCAGTCGGCTCGATATGGGTGGCACGAATGAACTCCTACGTTGTGTAATCGGTTCTTGGATGTGTTGGGACGTAAGACATAATCGGGAAGGGAATTAAATAAAAGACAGAACTTTTGTGCGTAAGAAATGACAAGAACAAATAAATATATTACGCACACAACAAGACCATACCAGGGAAACCTTCTACGGGACAAAATCCCCGGCATAGGCCACACAAATACATGAAATAAATCACCTACAGCAATAAAATGCAAGACAAAATACACATAAATGAAACATCTCAAATTGTATGATAAAAATTAGATAATCAAATCACATCCAATTAACCCAAGTTCATAAAAACAAAATACACAAATTAATTTAACACGGAAAGTACATGTGAGAATGCCAATAGCAAGTATTCATGTGAAAATCGATTATCGCTCAAGCAGAACATATTTTAAATAGGGGAAATCTTAATGAGAGGGCCCCTAAATATCTCGCATTGCTAAGAACTGCAATCCGCACGAGAGGAGTAAGCAACAGATACAGCGAAAGATCGAACTGTATTAGGTAGCTACTCCACGGAGACAGAATGAACCACTCGCACACACAAACATCGAAACATCAAATAAGAGAGCCCCACTTCGTATAACTAACGCACAAGAACTGCAGCGCGCCACGAATAAGAAAGTAACAGATACAGCGAACAATCAAACTGTATTAGGTACTTCCCTCACGCAATAGTTAGATTCAATCGATCAACATCGCACTGATAATCAACTCCTCGTGAATACAGAAATAAAACAAAATAATGGCATAATCACCTGTACAGTAGGTATAAAAAACACGATTCATCTAACGGTAAGTACTCAAAAACAAAAGCATGGAGTACGCCATATTTAGATATCGCAGTTTATGCAAAATCAGCAAAATGTAAATAATATCAAATTGTGGAAACAAATTCGCAATGATTAATAGTTAGTACAAGAAAGAATAAAATGGTTATTATATATATGTCGTAGTCTTTTAGTGAAATCCGTCATTTCACGAAACGCCTAGTTCGAGGCCTAGTCATTTAGTGAAACGCTGAAAATTTGTACGTGTGGGGTAATTTCCCTTCCCCTTCTAGATCGATAAGGATACCATTTATCGATTTCCAATGGAAACGGAATCCAATCGCTTGGCCCTGGAAAGTACACTGTGCCACAGTTTCATATAAATGACTAGGCTTTTCGTGAAATGACGGATTTCATTAAAAGACTACGACATATATATATATATATATATATATATATATATATATATATATATATATAATATACCTCATATTATGAGGTGCAATAACGAAGAAAGGTATGATAAACGAAAATCAATATGCGAACATTCTGGAAAGTGGCCAGTTAAAGGCACGTGCGGTGCGTGGATCCAATAACTTATATACACTAATGTTTCGTGCAGTTAATCGGGAACTAAATGTTGTTTGTGGAGATAATCTAAGGTTATGGCAAGAACGTTTAGGACATGTGAATGTGCAAACAATTAAAAAAATGGTGGTGAACGGTACGATTGTAGGTGTAAATATGAACAATGTCGATGAAAACTTTGTGTGTGACGGCTGTTAATATGGAAAACAGCATAAGTTCGCTTTTCGTAAGTCGCAACCGAGAAATTCAAAACCAGGAGAGTACATTCACAGCGATCTATGTGGTCCGATGTCGGTACCTTCCTTAGGTGGTGCTCGGTATTTCGTACTTTTTAAAGACGATTGTACATGCTATCGAATTGTGTATTTTTTTAAACATACGCAAACGCTCGATTGTTTTAAACAAGTAGTGAAATTGATTAAAAACAAGTTTGATTTTTGTGTAAAAACATTAAGAGTTGATAATGGCACCGAATATGTAGAAATCATGATTTTCGGAGTTTCTTGTTAGATAACGGGATACAACTCGAGACGTGTGCCATGGAAAATGGAAAATCAGAACGTGAGTACCGTACAATAGTGGAAAGTGTAAGCTCAATGATATACACATCTGTGGGGTGAGGCCGTAAACACAGTTGTTTACATCCTAAATCGCACATCTAACATTCATACGCCAGGCTCAACATCATACGAGATTTGGACAAAGAAAAAGCCCTCAGTACAAGATTTGAAAATCTTCGGATGTGAAGCATTTATGCAAATTCCCGATTCTCAACGCAGTAAGTTATAAGCCAAAAGTAAAAAACATATTTGTAGGGTACCAGAATGAATCTTCGAACTACAGGTTGTTCGACTCGGTAACGAAGCAAATTAAAGTGTCACGTAACGTATCGTTCAACGAGAATAACGACGTTAAACTACCTCTTGTAAATACGATCGTGGTTCCGCCAACAACAAACGATGAACAAGATGAGGCTTCCGAGCAGCAACAACCTGGGCCACAAATGAAGATACCGAAGTCGTTGGCCAGCAGGCGGAATTATCGGGGTATCAGTTGCGAAACTGTGGAACTATCCACAGACCACAACGGTATGAAGACGATGAACTGAATATGATTGAGGCGACCCCTTAACTTACGAAGAGGTTATTAATGGCGTAGATGCTGGCAACTGGAAAGCTGCCATTGACGAGGAGCTAGATGCGCTGGAGAGGAATAACACTTGGGGCCCTTACCACCGGATAAACAACCCATCGATTCAAAGTAAAAACGACAACAAACGGGAAGCGGTACAAAGCGAGGTTATGTGCACGAGGATTCGCTCAAATCAAAGGTACATACTAAATGAAACATATTCTCCTACAACACGCTACGATACAATTAGAATTTTGTTACCATACGCAGTTCGACAAAATTATAAGATTGTACAGTTTGACGTGAAAATGTAACATCTATGCCACCATTGTAACCCTTAAGGGGTGTTTCTCTCGGTATTGGTAGCAAAAGGTGTTATTGAGTAGGGATTTCAATAATGCACGTTAGGGAATGCTAGGGAGTACCTGGGCTATATTGAAGTAATTTCCAAAACGTTTACAGGGGTATTAAAACATCAATATAAAGAAATTTTCAAGGTAGAAAGAGGAAACGCAGGGACCAATATTACAATTTACAATACCAATGCAAACTAATAAACTTTGGGACTTACCATGTCGGTTCTGTTCAACAACCCAATCACTACTGCCTAATTTTTTCTAGCTCACGAGGTGCCTCAACCTTTTTACCGCCTGATAAGCAATTTCCTATATCGACACCTCTTGACTAATTCTACTTGTGCCACATTCAATTTTGCATTTTTCCCTTGTTACGAAATTTACTTTTATAAATGTCTTTATAGGCCCTGCGTTATAAAAACCGCGTTTTTATATGGGGAATTGGAGGAAGATATTTACATGGCGCCACCTTTGGGAGTAACCACGAAACAAGGTTTGGTGTGCAAATTGAACAAATCCCTGTACGGGTTAAAACAGGCACCTAGATGCTGGAACAAGAAGTTTGATTCGTTTCTGATATCTTTTGGTTTTAAACAATGTGAAAGTGTTTTTTTATGTATGTAGGAAACTTTAGTAATGAAACTGTAATTTTGGTAATCTATGTTGACGATGAGTTAATTCTAACCAAGAAAGAAAATTTGCTTAATAAAATTACAAATAAAATGAAACAGACGTTCGAAATAACAGTAAGTAAAACTAACTGCTTTGTAGGACTTTAAATAAATAATGAAAATGGATCAATTTGTATTTCAAGCTTCATCGGTCGTATGTTGAAACTGTTCAATCTTGAAGATTCGCAGCCATCGACTCTACCCGCGGATCCAAATGTAGTATTGCCAATAGGATAATGATCACATCAAGGACGAAGGAATTCCATATAGAGAAGCCGTAGGCTCACTTATGTTTGCAGCAATAACCCGCCCTGTTATTACAATTGCCATTAATGTAGTAAGTAGATTTCAAAATAATCAGGGTGCACCTCATTGGAATGCTGTGAAACGAATTATGAAATACCTAAAACATACAAAGAATCTAGGAATTAGGTACAAGCTTTAGTGACGCACCTGTAAATGGTTTTTCTGACTGGGATTACGCCAGCAATGTCGACAGGAGAAAATGCACTTAGTGCAGTCGTAGACAACAAACGACCTCTGTATCGACTACGGAAGCCGAATATGTCGCGGCGGCGGAAGCCACCAAAGAAGCGATTTGGTTGAGACATCTGCTAAGTGAGATCAGTGGTAAATCAATTGAAAATGTGCTTGATGTTGATAATCAAAGTGCCATTAAACTAGTGAAAAATCCCATATTTCATAAACGGACAAAACATATAGACGTTAGGTATCATTTTATTAAAGAAAAATTTGAGAATGGGGAAATCAAAATTGAATATGTGCAAAAATGGTTTGTTCTTATCTTGAGTTAATTTCCAATTGTATCTTTCTTTTATTTTCCTTTCATTTTTAGGGATGGTGTATGTCCAGCGTCCATCATCTTTTTTTCTTCCCTGATATTCTTCTCCTCTCTCCCTCTTACGCTTATATATTTATTAGCAAACCACTTATTTTCATGTCTTCTTTTCTGTCTACGCCTAATATATATTTCCTTAGATTTTTCTAACTCAGATTTAGTATGTTGGTATAGGTATATATAAAATTTCAAAAGAACCCTACCTGTTCAGTGTTCGCATATACCTACTTATTACAAACAAAATTTGTTGGGATAGCTTGCGTAAATGTTTTATTGGTTGCCACACAATTATAATAACTATGTACAATCCTAATAACTACATATATACACACTAAACCTATTAAATGTCCGTGGGGTACTTCACGTATTCGCACAGGTACAAGGCGAAGGTTAACTTAAACGCGAACTGAACACCGTTCCAGTAACTGTTCTAGCGAGTCGCTTAAATGCAGAGCACTGGAGTGGATTGCTCTTACGACTGGTGGGCTGGGTGTTGCACCCTAATATTCAGCGTTAGCCTATTGGCTTTTACCGTTGTAGCAATTTCTGATTAATTCTCATTTATACGTTGTTATTCCAGAATCGTCCTGGGCCGTTTTTTGTATCTTTGTTGCGTTCCCGCGACTGGAGCAATTCTTCGTATGTGGGGTTAATGGTGGAGTTGTCTATCCTTGTGAATGCCTTATCGGCGAGCGCGCGTACGTGCTCTTGCAGGGTGGTGATTTCCAGGTCGTCGCGTATGGTGTCGTTCCTCACGTACCATGGCGCCTGGACAATGTTACGGAGAGTCCTTGATTGAATGGCTTCAATTCGGCGGGTGTTTGTTTGTGACAAATACATCATCCATCCTGCGGATGCGTATGTCAAGATTGGTCTTATACTGGTCTTGTATATTCCGACCTTCGTCTTAATATCTAGGGATCTAGCTGCTAGCAGTGGATACAGTGATCCTCTTGCTTTTCTCGCCTTTGTTACTGTAGATTCGGTGTGTTTGGCGAAGGTAAGACGCCTGTCTAGGGTTACGCCTAAGTAGGAGATGTCGTTTTTCCATTCTAACGCTTGTTGCTGGAGTTGTAGTACCGGGAGCCTGTCTGTTTTCCGCGTTCCAAACACGATGGCTTCTGTTTTTGCAGGGTTGAACTTCAATCTCCAGCGTCCCGACCACGGAAGAATTTGATCCAGTGCGTCTTGGGCTCTTCTGACAGCGGTTTCTCTGCGCCTGTTGCTGGCAAAGATAAGTAAGTCATCGGCGTACAGGGCGAAGTTGACATCTGGCGGTTTTGGGACGTCGTTGATGTAGGCGTTGAATAGAATTGGTGATTAAACACCCTCCCTGCGGGACGCCTGCATCCGCTGGTGTTTCTCGTGACAGGTGATCCTGCACCTTCACCCTAAAGGACCTGCCTTGTAGGTAACTGTGCAGCAGCTGTACAGTGGCTGGTGGCACGTTCTGTGTTCGGCGCAGTTTGACCAGCAAACCCGCTCTCCAGACCTTGTCGAAAGCCTTCTCGTTATCCAGCGAGACGGCGACAGTGGTTTTGCCCATGTTGGTGGCTTCCGCTACATGGTCTATAAGCCTGACTATTTGGAGTGTTGCTCTAAACCCGAACTGTTCTGGTCGTAGTGTTAATCTTGGGAGGAGCCTTGTCAGTAGCTCTTACGCCCCGCAATTTGTCGATCTGGGCTGTGAGCCCTTCCTCTAACAGCTCTAGCCATTGGCTTCTACTGCTTGCTGGTTGTTCTTGGTTCATGGCGTCTTGTTTCCTCTTGTGTGGTTTATGAGGGTAGCTCTTACGGAGCGCGGGAGGATTCTTTAATATAGTCCGCTGAGATGCTGCGTGTGAGGGTTGCGGCTTGCGCTATCTCGGCGGATACTTAGAGAACTGGTTGGGGCGCGCGTGGTTAAGTAAGGGTGCGTGCGCGGGTATCATTGTTAGGATGTCATGTGGGTTGCGGTGTTTTAGGGGTTGTAGGTGTCCGTTACAAATTTAGTTTTTTTAAAATCTTACCTTACTTCTCCTCGCCCACGTCGTCCGTCTTGTCTTCGTCTACCTCTTTGTCCATGTCGTCATCCTCTACCTTCGCCACGCTGTCCCCCTCGTCCACGTCCTTGTCGCCCTCCTCGTTTGCGTCCTTCTCGTTTCGGAGGACCTCCTTTAGATCATTTACATAAAAAACTTTGTGATTTCGCGCGCGTATTAATAAATTAAGGGAAGATAGAGTGAGGTGAAAGTGTATAAACGTGTTTATAGATGCTCCGTGAATACGTTCAAATTTTGGGCCTTGACGAGCAGCTGAATGCGTTTTTTTTGCTTTCACAAAGATACATAAAAGGTAGGAGTGGAAATAGATTAAAAATTATTAGGCAGTGAAAACAGAGACCAACAAATTTTTTGTAGTAAGCATCGGTTATTTTGTGTAAATAAACGTTTTGTTGCTATCGCGTAAAGAGATAAACGTGTTTTTCCCGAAGGGTCGACCTGAGAAGCACGTTTTGCGCTCCGACTGCATAGGCAACTAACATTACACTCCCTCAGCGCGTGTGGCATACACCACAAAGAAATCCAAAAAGGTTTTCATTGCTACACGGAAATCAAAATGGAAGACATATTGACACAAATTAAACAACAGCTAGAACACATCAACCAAAGATCTGAGCGGATTGAAAATAAACTTGACGACTGTCAAAAACAAATTAAGGAACTTTGTAACGAAAATTCCATCTTAAAACGTGAAAACGAAAAACTAAAGACGACGGTCGTTACGCAAAACAATAGATTGAATTTTTTGGAAAAAGAAATGAGAAGAAAAAATGTGATAGTCCAAGGCATGAAAGAAACTCAAAACGAGACCGACCAACAGCTGAAAGAAAAAATGGCGAATATGTTGCTAGACATTGGAGTAAATGTTGACATCGAATCTGAGTTTGGAGAAATATATCGAATTGGAAAACCATTAAATCGAACGAGACCGATTTTTGTAAAAGTGAAAAATTTTTCCCTGAAATTAGAAATTTTAAAAACGGCAAAAAAATTTCGAGGTTCGGAAATATATATTACAGAGGACTTTCCGAAACACGTACTGGAACAGAGAAAGATACTACTTCCCCACATGAAAGCGGCCAGAGAGACACGACACCGTGCGTTTTTGAATTACGATAAACTGGTTGTTAATGGTGACGTCTTTGGAGTAGATGATTTAACAGAAGAGCATGAAAATGAAAATCAAGGGCACGACATGGCAAAGAAAGGGAGGACTGTAAGTCAGAGATCGCCTCAAGATGAAAAAACCACATCCAAGAGAGCAACGAGCATGTGTAACTTACCAAAAAACTAACCGTTACCTATGCACCAATGATGACGACATCGGCCATGGACAATGGAAATGAAATGGAAAAACGGATAAAAGGTTTACGAAATAAAGTCAGAACTTGGAAACTAGGTGTGTGGAATACAAGGAGTATGAACGGCAAGGAGAATGAACTAGTGCAGGAATTCGAAAAAGCGCAGCTGGATATCTTGGTCATATCTGAAACGAAAAAGAAGGGACGAGGTACTACGAAAATGGATAACAATCATTTATTCATATACAGTGGAGTGGATTTAAATGAAAGAGCGGCAGGCGGAGTCGGTTGTCTCATTCACGAGAAACATGTAGAAAAAGTATACGACTGGAAATCAATTTCTGAAAGAACAATACAAGTAGAACTAATTGGATTGGAAGGCACCAAAACTACAATAATAGGGGTATACGGTCCAAATGAAGACGAAAAAGTGGAAAGAAAGGACATCTTTTGGGACGCCCTAGAAAGAACAACCGAAACAGCGAAAGGACAAGTATACATTGCAGGGGACTTTAATTGCAGAGTTGGAAGAAGAGATGCAACATATAAAGCAATTTTAGGAAGCCATGGGGAAGATGCTCGAAATAGTAACGGCAACAGAATGCTGGACTTTTGCCTCACAAATAACCTCATTATCACAAATTCTTTTTATGAGCACAAAGATATACATAAATACACACGAGAACAACATTCAAGACAAGAAAAATCTATTATTGACTATGTACTTACAGAAACAACAAACAGAAAAAATATAAAAGATGTAAAAGTTTCAAGAAAGGCAGAAATAGGCAGTGATCACTATTTATTGATAGCTACAATAAAAAATGAAAATATCTCCGCTAGACACAGCAAACAACAAAAAACCGAAACAATGTATACAGAAACTATTAAAGCCTATAAATTAAGAAATAAGGATGTGGCTAAGGAGTTTACCCAAACGTTGGACCAAAAATTAGAAAGCTGGGAACAAGAAGAAAATTTGGAAAAGTTGTGGACTTCTTTTAAAGTAGTTGTACTGGACACGGCAAGAAAGACATGTGGAATTTCAAAAATGCACGATGGCAAGAAGAAAACTGCATGGTGGAGTGAAAAGATCAAGCTAGAGGTAAAGAAAAAGTGGCAACAATATATTAAATCGAGAACACCAGACAAATATGAGGAATATAAACACCAACGAGGCGCTGTAAAAAACTTGGTGTTACAAGCAAAGAAAAAATCATGGGAAGATTTTGGACGAAAACTGGAAGAAAACAGTAAAGGAAATCAAAAACTGTTCTTTAAAGTGATAAAAACACTAAGGAAAAACCGAGATGACTACATCTTTAACAAGTACAAACGGAGAAGTGATAACAGATTAAAAGGCGATAATGAACAGATGGAGAGAGTATTTTATGGAAGTACTAAAAGGAGAACAAATTTACGAAAGAGAAGTATTAAAATACGAAGGAAGAAATGAAAATATGGAAGAGGAAATTAGGTACTTTAGATGAACTGGTAAACGCAATTAAAAAGCTAAAAGTAGGGAACGGTATCACAGCAGAAATGCTCAAAAACTTAGGGCCAAAAGGGATGGAAATATTACTTACAATAATGAACAAGGCAAGTTCTCATGAAACTATACCGAAGGATTGGGAAGTAGCCTTGTTAGTACCAATATTCAAGAAAGGAAATGCAAAAGACTGCAATAATTATCGAGGAATATCTCTATTAAGTAATGCGCTAAAGGTGTACGAACATATCTTAGAAGAACGTCTAAGAAAAGTTATAGAGCCAACCTTAAATGAAGCCCAAAGCGCGTTTCGAAAAGGTAGAAGCGTTCAAGATCATGTCTTCAGTATAAATCAAATAATCAACAGATCAACTCAAATAAACCAAAATGTATATTTAGCATACGTTGATTTGGAAAAAGCGTTCGACCGTACACCGAGGTCAAAAGTGTGGGACATCTTACGACAAAGAGGAACAAGTGTTGATCTGATAAGAAAAATCGAGAGCATTTACTGCAACGACATTAACTGTGTAATAAGCAAAAACAAAAAATCCGAACCGTTTGCAGTAAAAGAGGGTCTCCGACAAGGAGGAGTGCTGAGTCCTCTACTCTTTATAATATACATATATGGATGAAATAGTATCCAAATGTAACGAAAAAATTATCAAAGTCCTCGTGTGAGATCGAAGGGACTTCAGCGCATTTTTGTGTGGCAGATCAGTATTCTATTAGCCACTTTTGACTCAACCGTGAATAAAAGATTTTGTCGAAGTATACCACATTCCCTTTGACGGTACCCACATCCGACGTCCCGTTCACCCGCAATTCGCGTTTGAAGATTTTTCTCCACCATCAGTTAGATCTTGTTGGAGGCTACCACATTTCCTTTTTCGGTGCATGCTTATATTACACCCACATTTTGGTGGATCTCGCTAAAAACCTTCCACAAGATAGTACTTAATTTTTGGGGGGCACTTCTCATTACTCGAGCTTCTATTGGCGACACGAGAAAGAGAGACAGCCATTCGAGATTTACGAAACGTTAAAACGCGTGACAGAATTCGCAACGGAAGGTAAAAGGTGCCCGAAGTTGACTACCTCTCGAAGACGCGCGCGCGCGCGCCATGCAAAAGGTCGTTAATTTCGCCCCTAGGCCAAAAAACAAAATTCCGCCACGCAGGAGTTGTGCGCGTTTACAACATCTTTCCGACGACACCAATTTGAAAAGAATCGGACCAAAACTGTAGTAGAAGATAGGAAAAAACTGAAAAACCTTCACGTTAGTATACTACGCTCGAGGACGACGCCCAGATGTCGCCAACCCCACATCATGTAGCCCTGTCCCCAAGGTTTACAAATTACACGGCCTTGTAGATACACGTACACCCGTTGCCTTTCTACAAGAGTTCTTCTACGCGCCCACATTTGCTGCCAGCCAGCCGACCAGCCAGCCAGCCAAAGTGAGATTAAAAGCTACTTTTTACAAATAAATTTGCAAAAATGCGCTAAAAACCAAAAGAACGCTAAGTATTGGATACAGATACCTACAGAGAGTGCAAATCTCGGAATGCCTGTTTGCTGACGATATTGTGCTTATTGCTGGAAGTGAAACGGATTTAAAAGAGAATCTAGGGATATGGCACGAAGTGTTACAACAATACCAAATGCAAATCAATAAAAATAAAACAAAGGTAATGGCTATCACAAATGTACAGACGCAAATGAACGTACACATCGAGGAAGACGAAATTGAACAAGTGAAACAATACAGATACCTGGGAATTACAATAGAAGAAAATGGCAGACAAGACATCGAAATAAATGAGAGACTATTAAGTGCTTCAAAGGTGTACCACACAATTAAAAACACAATCGTTAGGAAACGTGAAGTATCAAGAACGGCTAAGACGAACGTTTTTAAGGTCATTTTTAGACCCATACTCACTTATGGGTGTGAAAGCTGGATACTAAACAAGCGTGACAAAAGTAAAATCCAGGCCATGGAAATGAAGTATCTGCGAGCAGTAAAAGGAATAACAAGATGTGACAGAGTCCGCAACACTGAAGTTCGCGAGGAACTGGAAGTAAAATCTATTTTGGAATTTATTGAAAACAAACAACTAAGCTGGTGGGGTCATTTACAAAGAAGCAACAGTCAAAGACCGGTCAAACAGATTTGGGAAGCGAAGACGCATGGACGAAGACGAAGAGGCAGACCAAAAAAAACTTGGGACGAAGTAATTGGCGAGATACTAAGTAGAAGAGGACTGACATGGACGGAAGCTAAACAACTTGCAGGAGATAAGAAAGCTTGGCGCAATTTTGTGTACAATTAAGATATGCCTAAATGTAAAAATTTTACTGTATTTTTCCTGGACATCGAAAGGTAAAACATGTTTTGATTTTATATATATATATATATATATATATATATATATAAAAACTTAAACCTAATTAAAAGAATTAAAATTAAAAGAATTAGGGTACTTCCTAACATGGATTTTATTTGTTTGTTGTTTAAATCGATTATATCAATGAATTTTCCCACTTTAGAGTCATCCGAAGATGTGTAATTTTTATGAAAATTTTCAACCATTTTAACGGTCAACTCGATATTCTTTACCAAAGACATTTTCACTAAAAACAAGATTGTAAAATAACTGGAGAGAAGAATTTTCAAAGGAGCACCTGGTAATCGGTGGAATGCACAATCAAATAAAAATACGGCAATGAGGCGCTACTTAAATGCAGATCGTGCTGCCTTCATCACTACGTCACGCGCGCACGTGACGTATGTTACAAAAGTACGTGAATAACAACTAAGTTTTATTACGAATGTAATTTTACAATGTCATGTCATAACAGTTAATCAATCAATATGGAACATTCCTGTATAATTTCCTGTAATTCTATTTCATACCTTACATCGAAATATATAAGCTCCTCAGCTAAAACAAATATATTGTTATACTTACAACTTGCTTCAAGTGCTTTTGACAAAACTAATCTTTCATCTTCGGCCTCAAAATCTGCATACATATCTTGAATATAACAATATATGTTATTAAATTCCCTAGATTTTCTTCTAAATTTAAGATAACATTTATGAAGACTCAGAACCTTCTCTTTAAAGATATCAGTTTTGGTTTTAAGTGCTTTATGCTTGCATTTAAGTATCTCTATGTGATTTAGTAAAATATCTGGTAAAGACTTACATGGCAAATTATTATTTATTATTGCTTTTTGTGTTAAATTGTAGAGAGAAGGCACTTTGATCTCCTTTCGCTTATAACATAAGTCACTAAGTATATTATTAATAGAAACTAAATAGCGTCCCGCACTAAAAGTAACTGAAGCAACCATTATTTCAAAATCGTGATTCATGTAATCAACCCATTCATAATTTGAATGTGGATGCATATTGCTAAAATTTAAAATATTTATTATTTAATAACATAATAAGAAGCATACATACCTATTGTTGCTATGCGTCAGTAAAAGATATTTGCAACAACTTATTCGGTTTCCCCACATCGACTTCACCTTCAAAAACTAAAGCGATTTTCCGAATAGATGCTGCAAATTCCGTGATTTTTTCGTTTGAAAACGATCTTGAATAACGCTCGGGTAGAAAAACACTGTTATCTTCTGTTTCAACTACAATTTTTCTACCAAATTTAGTAGTTTGGACTGCTTTAATACTATATAGCTTGTATTTTTTACCAATTATCATATTCTTAATTTTTAAAATTGGTTTAAATTCACATTTTCCCAATGAAGTTAATTCCTTTAAGAGCTGATCCATGTCATTTGATTTTATTATAAAGTATTTCTTTTGTCTATTAATATTTCACAAATTAATTTAGTAATGTTACTTATATAAGAATTACTTACCAATTTGTTGTCTAGTTATTAACTACCTCTAAAGATGAAGATTCCTTGTTATTTATGCTAGAATTTTCTCCTGAAAAATAACTTTTATCAGCATCGTCTGTGGTAATTGGTTAATGTATTTCCTGATATTCATGAATTGATAATATTGGCTTACCTGTTTTTCTATATTTTACCATTTTCGGAAGTGGCGATGGTGCTAATTCTTCATAACATAACAAATCATCACTATTGTTTCTTATAGGATGCATTTCAATAGATTTTTTACAAAAACAAAAATGCTTTTGGCACTCGTAACAGCGTTTTGTACCCGACATTTTTCATCACGTTACAATAAAGTATGTAATTTTTTATCATGTGTTTTTTTTATTTGCGGATGTTCCATACCGCATTGAGAATTTTTATCATTTAATGCTACAAAATAGTGATAATCTGAAACCGCAATACCATCCTGATGTTTCTATCATTTTAGCAGTTGTACTTAGAAATTATGAGTGGTAAGTACCGTATTTCGCATATAATGGCCTAAAGTTTATTGCTTTTGTAGATATAGAATCAAGTTTAGTTTTTGCAAGAGATCAAACCCCTAAAGGTAATCAACATATTCCTATCAATTATATTCCATTATACTTTAAGTTGCAGAACAAGAACTCGTAAAATGTATCGAGGAGCGCTATCCGAATGTAAGTTATACACACACGCATTTTTCAATATTCATATTCGGATATTTCTAGGCGTACGTGGTCATCATAAGAGGGTTTTTACCCCCTCAAATTCAAAATATATCGGGGGAGGAATGTATAAGGACATGCATTATAATTTGCATAAGGACGAAGACCTACCGAACATGATTTGGATTGTTTATAGCCCAGGCACTTTAGGTTAAAAAATAGACAAAATTAGTAACAACATATTCCAGCAGCTGTGGGATACTACTTCAAGTGCTCATACGATGAATCTCTTTCGTTCTACAACAGCTACCGCGGTGGAGACTGTATGCGATGGTTTGCTGACGAGATGAATAAGCTTGCGGAAGATGTCTCTACGGTGTTTCTTTGCCCCTACAAGATGCATATGACACCACAGCAGGAACTTGAATTTCAAGCAGCAACGCACTGCCATATTTTTGAACAGTCATTTAAATCTGGTCAAAAGAAAGTTCCAGATCACAATCACCTTATCCCGGAGAACAACTTCCGCGGAGCGTCATGTGAGGGATACAACGTCAACTACCAGGACACTCATACAATTCCGGTGGTGTTCCACAACTTGAGTGGATATGATGCACACTTTGTTGTAACAGATATTGCCACTAGAATGGACGGCAAGATCGACTTGCTCCCTATAACCAAGGAGCAATATATTTCTTTTACCAAACACATCAACGAGTCACGCATATGCTTTAGATTTATAGACAGCTTCCGGTTTATGGCATCATCGTTAGATAAATTATCATCAGCTCTAACGAACTTTCCTAATCTAAAGTCACAATTCTCTACACTACCTGAAGATCAATTTGATATTTTAACTAAAAAGGGTATTATGCCGTATGATTATTTCGACTCGTTCGACCGTTTCGATGAGCCTAGTCTGCCTCCTCAAGACATTTTACAATAAGCTAGAAGATAAGCCCTGTCCTCGAAGAATGTACCGTAGAGCTCAAGAGGTGTGGACCAAATTTAACTGCAGCAACTTGGGTCAATATGTTGACTTATACATGAAGACTGATATTCTACTCCTTGCAGATGTCTTTGAACAGTTTAGATCAAGCTGTATTAGCACTTATGATTTAGATCCGGCCCACTATTTTACACTACCAGGCTTTACTTGGGATGCCATGTTGAAATACACGCAACAAGAGCTGGAACTCCTTACCGATCAGGATATGTTTCTCTTTGTCGAACGGGGTATTCGTGGAGGGCTAAGTCAAGTCTGCTGTAAAAGAAGAGCTCATGCAAACAACAAATATATGCTCAAATATGATTCAACGAAACCGGATGTCTATCTAATGTACAACGACATCAATAACCAGTATGGATGGAGTATGAGTCAATATCTTCCATATGGAGGCTTTGAATGGGTAGACTCCAACATCGATATCGCTACGATTCCGGATGATGCAGACGAAGGTTATATTTTAGAAGTTGATTTAACATACCCAAAGGATTTACATCAAGGACACGCTGCTTTACCGTACTGTCCTATACATATTAACCCGAAAACTTTAAAGCCACCTATTACTACTAAAGATCCTCCTTCAAAACTCATGGCGACTTTGGACAATAAAGAAAAATTAATACGTCATCCACTATCGCGCCTTAAAACAAGCATTAGAGCATGGGTTAGTTCTCACAAAAGTACATAGGGTACTCAAATTTAAACAGTCCCCTTGGCTAAAGTCCTACATTGACCTTAATACAGAACTAAGAAAAAAAGCCAAGAATGAATTTGAGAAGAACTTGTTTAAGTTGATGAATAACGCGGTCTTTGGGAAGACTATGGAAAATGTCAGAAAACGGGTTAATATCAAATTACTATCCCAATGGAAAGGACGTTACGGCGCAGAATCATACATTGCGAAACCGGAATTTAAATCTTGCGCCATTTTTAACGAAAACTTGGTAGCTGTAGAATTGAATAAGCTTGAAGTCTATTTAAATAAGCCTATATACGTAGGTCAAGCCATTCTTGATCTAGCCAAGACGACCATCTACAGCTTCCATTATGACTACATGATGGATAGATTTGGAGATAACTGCACAGTTCTTTACACAGATACGGACAGCTTAATTTATGAAATTCGTGAACAAGATCCTTATATGGCGATAAAAAACGACTGTTTTAAATATTACGATACTAGCGATTATGACCCCAATAACCCATATGGCATACCCCTTGTAAATAAGAAAGTGTTGGGCATGATGAAAGATGAAAATAATGGACAGATAATGACCGATTATGTAGGATTACGATCGAAACTGTACACCACTAAAGTATTATCCACTAAGGACGATTTAATAAAACTACAACAGAAATTGGAAGCGGAGGAGTATGATGAGGATGAAATTGCTACGATTATTAAAAATTATGGTTTGACTAAGAAGGCAAAGGGGATAAAGAAAAGTGTAGTAGAAACTAAAATTACCTTTGATGATTATGTGGAGTGTCTGGAGACCTATAAGCGCAAAACTACATCTCAAAATTTGATTCGTACGGATAAACATCAAGTTTATTCCATAACGCAGTCGAAAATTGCTCTAAGTCCTGAGGATGATAAGAGATACCTGATTCCTGACTCATTTAACACTCTACCGTGGGGCCATTATGCTATCAATAAGCCTCAAGATGTTGAACAGATGGAAGTTGATTAAGGTTGTGATTTTTGATGAATTAGTTACAAATTGTCAAAATCCTAGGAAATTTGTATACAAATTAGGATATTATTTTAGGAATATTCTTAGACTAAAGGTTATTAGCAAACTACCCCTGTATAAAGCTAAAAATAGTAAATTCTTGTATAAATTTAAGATTTCATTAATAAAATGTTAAGGTTCAACTCTGTTATACACCTTATCCTTTGCTAACGGGTTACTACTTATGCGCAAGCAGTACTATTAAAAAGGTAGGCCTATTAGTTATTTTTTATACACCCTGTGTAGAGAAATATCTAATGGGGAATCCTATAACGAGACCGTAAACATCTCCAATAAATTGCATTATTTCTAGTGTGAATTTATTGCCTCCTGGGTGGTCATGGAAAGAGGTGTATCTACCCAATAATAATTTAACTAAAGCTATACAAGGTAGATCGATAATTCGGTAACTTGTTCCTCTTCTAGAATATACGCAGCTAAATGTCCATTTTACTATTTAACGATTACGTAATATTATGATTTTGTTTATAATTGCACTTGTTTCAAGACATGGAAGATGTAGAAGCTTTTGTCGACATTGTGTTAGAAAGTGTGCCTGTAATTGATGGACATCGGCAGAGAGTCGCCATTGTGCAAGAAGAAGTAATTCAGTTGCCGCCTACCGTGGTGGAATTTAACTTTGTACCTGCCGGTGAAGGAAGCTCCAAATTAATATATCGCTATCAGCCTCGAGCTCGCAAACATTAAGTGGAGCTGCGGTATTGAATAAGTTTAAATATCGTTCGTTTGTACAGGAAAATATATACGGTTACATCTACATGCCCAAGAGAATCCAGTATTTCTTAAAGCAATTATGGCGAGCAAGACAACTGAAAATTATATGGAGAACAGAAATACATGAAGCACTAACCAACAGTGAAATATGTAACATAACCTCAATTCGAACGTTAAAAAGCCGCTATCCTACTACGTTAATTGCAGGCATTAATAATACTAGCATCGTCCGTCGCACTTATACGCGCCAATATGACGAGAGTTCTGCTGCTCCTGATGAGTCTACTGAAATGTCACATCCTTGGATAACACCTTATGTACCGGCATCATCATACTCGTCCCTCAATGGTGACGAAGAAGAAGAAGAAGAAGAAGAACAAGAAGTAGAATTTCGATCCATCGAAATGGATAAACGTGAAAATGAACAGGATTATAAAATTAGAATTGATCGGTTGATTAGCAGAATTCAAATGGACCAGTGGAGTCTTCATTATCCGGAATTAGAATTAGAACACTTACCATATCATAACTATTATCGCAACATAAATGTGGATCCTCGAAAAATTGATTTAACAGAATATACTACTTATCAGGTAAATTGTGATTGGAATGAGTGAAATATCTATAGCTTTATTTGTAATCTAATTTTTTCGATGTATGTGAACCTTAATAAAGAAAAAAAATACGCCGCCGACGAGGACCTTTATTATAAATATTTAAAATATATAAAATTTGGTATAAATCTAAACACACATCGATGATTTTAATTATGAGGCGCACCTTCTGCATTAGTTTTTTTGAAGGACGAGGAGGACGACTGATGTCAACGATTTTGATTGTAGCAGTTCCTTTGACGAGGTGATTGGTATCTTCTGCGAAAAAAAAATGCAAACAGGTCGTAAACTTTTTTTATACTTACGGTCCTACACGCACAAATGCTACTCCCCTTCCTGAGGGTTCTGAATTCGTAAAAACCCATATATAGTAATCCCCAAAAAAGGGGTCTATAAATAGTAGAATGTCGCGCCTCTCATCATAAACCAGATTATGTGCACACGGGCACATGATCGTGTACCCCTAAAAACTAATAATTGCAAACCATTTAAAAAATTATTAAAACACTTACGTTTGGCACATACTCTCGAATTTCGTTTAACAACCACTCGCACTTTGAAATATTGGTCCTCGTCGGCGCCGATGTCATTTTGCTGCTCGTACACGCATTGAGAACAAATGATGCGATAAAGTGGTATTTATAATGCGGAACCCTTTTTGCGTCCTTAACGATAAACAGATAATTCGCATCCTTTCGATTTATAAATACCTATTATTCAAACGGATGGAACGAGGATTTTATAAAATAATCAAGCGGATGGATAGTTCACATGTTTGCTATCTAAATGTACATTATAAACGGCCGACTTTATTCGTAAATTTCTAACGCAAGAAGTCATTGAAGAGAAACCCGCGCTACCCCCCCAAATGAAGACATCGATTCACGTCCGCTTGCTCATTGTGCATTATAAATAATTATATTACCCAATAAAACGAATATGTCTCCGTAGCTCAGAGATGTATTTATTTTAATGCCATATGCCGCCCAATTTGCAAATTACAGTTTCCTATACGTTAGATGCGTATCATTTTGCCGCCACCAAATAGCCCCTAGCCCCTATCGGGTTTTTTCCCTGCCCACTCCTGTTCTAGTTATAGGGAACCTACCTCCGAGATGGAATTATAGGTTAGAATGAGGGTCCTCGCACCTGTCTCCTGAAATTACAATTTCCTACCCTATACCTATATGTCACATCAATCTAATAGAGGGAGTCGGTTGAAAATATACCTCTATATGCATTACGACGCCAATAGATGGCACCTCCGTACCATTTAATACATAGATATATAAATACCTAGATACAGCCATCCTTAACAAACGTACCTCGGTTTTTAAAAAACATATCAAAGAAATTTGTACATCTCTCCATTACTTTCTAACCAAGATGAAACATGTTCTATCTCTTTTTATTGCATTAACCACTATGTCGTACGCGAATCGGTCGCTTAAAACAAACTTAGCGCGTCCCATAAGTCATGTGACAGTTGACACATTTCACGATAGCGCGAAATCCAATCTAACTAAAAATATTCGCCCTAAACATGATGGGCGGTTTTTTCACTAAATATTATGTAATTATTGCGTTATCAATTGAATACGAATAACATTAGTGCTTGCCATAATGATAGACGCGTTAATAATAATTGTTATTCCTGAAATAGTTTTATTACATCGAACTACGCCATTCAAATTTGGGATAATGTTTACCCTGTTTGGCATGATGTGCTGCATTGAATTCATTGCTGGCTTGCAGAATATCAAAAAAACCGTAAGTAAGTAAAGTTTATGTTCAACATTTTAATTTTAATTGCATGGTTTTAGGCGTAATGGTAAAGGAAATTGTTGCGACAGGAAGTGAATTCGTTTCCAATTATTATTTTGGCCTATATGATGTTGATGCAGTGCGTTTATATCATGATCACAAAGAAGGATCCGTCCAATATTCTTAGGAAAACGAGTTTTTAGACTGTGTGTGCGTGCAATATCAAATTTTGGTCGCTACGCGTCTTGCCTACCTTTCGGCATATGTCCATTCGGTGGGGTTTCTTTTTGAAATTATAGTGCTAATTGTAGTAAGTAAGCTACACGTGTACATTTATTTAAAATAAATACAACACCTTAATAATGATATCCAATTGGTGATAATACTCATTTAGTGAACATTCATTACGTTTGTAAAAGCTCACAATCCGAATCATCGTCAGATGAAATTTATCATCACTGTCATTATTAACACTTAGGTATTATCAAGTTCAGCAACATCAACCAAATATAACTTCTCTTTTAAATTAATCACTTTCCACATGTTCACACACTTTCTTCCAGTTGTCAGCTGTAATTTTTTCAAATTCTTCATTTGCCAGCTTTCTAAATAACATCTTCCATTTTAAATGTAACATTTCTTTGCTGCTATGCAATTTAAATAAATAAAAAGGCGGTTTATTTATGTTGTAAAGTCTCAAATCTGATAATTTTCTGTGTGATTTGTGCTAACAATTTGATTGACAGTTATAATAAATAATGCGAATCTTGTCTTCCATGCTCAGGGTACCTCTATAAAAGATAGCGCTATACGTAATTAATGTGCCGAAAGTGATGGTAATAGATGGTACGTCCTTTTGAACTATGTTGGGGTATGGCTGTATCTATGTATTTATATATCTATGATTTAATAATATTTAGAGGTTCGTTATAAATACAACTATCGAAGCATTATATCATACAAGTCTAGTTAGCCTAGTGGTTATGCTATAGGACTTGTAATCCGATGGTTGGCGGTTCGAATCCGTTCCATTTAAAAAAAATTTTTCAGGGTACGAAGGGGTCGAAGTTGAGGATTCCAAGATGGCGTCCAAGAACTTGAGGATTCCAAGAACTTGAGGATTCCAAGATGGCGTCCAAATGACGCCTGCGCAAAGGGGCGGGGCGCGCATGCGCACTGACCAGAAGTGCTCAAAAAAAGCCCAAATGAACCTTAGAATTTCCCATAAGAAATAACATGGGATTTCGACCAAAAGTGGGCTAGAATCCTCCTAGCCCCTTTACTCAGATCGTTTCGGTTGTCGGCAGTTCAGGTACGGCAAAATCTACCGCTCGGCCCCGTGAGGGTGAGGTGACAATCCGGACTGGTGACTTACACACACCAGGAATGGGGAAATCTAACGAACGTTTACCCCCACACAACCGGGGTAAACATATAACCAGAAAAAATGTCCCTGGACTATGTCTTCTAGTCAGGTATCGTTAGATATGCAGCACAGGTGTTTCTCTATAAGAACGCCATTTTGTGAACAAAAGGAATGTGATAAAGATGGTAGTTACGTCGAAACAATTATAAATCCCTTAACGGTTTAGGGGTTTAAGTGGTCTCAAACCAACCCCCAATTATATATACATTACTCATGAAAATGTAACGACCGATTAGAATCACCTGCTCCTTGTTCAGATTATCGAAGAGAAGAGAAGGTATCGATCAATACCTTTGTCGAAGAATTAAGTACATGCGCAAAGCAACCTAAAATGTTCAACAGCCAAGTATTTGCGACGCTTATGGCAAATAGGCCAATAACATTTTCGTTGTCTAATTCTTGATCTGCAACTAATCCATCCATTTTATCGACGCCTCCCATTCCTCGATTGTAATCGGATGTTACTTCAGACTGATCAACTGACTTCTTCGATTTTGTCTCCCTGCACCCACGAGAGGTTTTGACATCTATCTTGGAGAAATTAGAGGCCATTGTAACTTTATTGTCTTTCCATTAAACGAGTAACAATTCTTTACTTTCAATGAACTTGTAACTTCCTCTCTTTTCTTTGTTCCATATTTTCTTGTCAGGGAAAGGACATCTTTCAGTTCGATTACCACGAATTGTTTCAGGAGCATACATTTTTAGATTTGAACGATATACAAGAAGGGTATGAAATAATTATCAAAGAATATTTTATAGCCAAAATTACCTCCAATTTCTGCCTCTCTACCCACTCCAAATTGATGTGTATTTGTCTATTTTCCCGTGTATATTTCAAAAGCAACACAGTAGCCTGTACACAATGCCCAATTTTTAAGAACAAACCTAATGGGTTTGCCTTTTATACATATATTGTTTGGCATAGCGTTTTCCATAGTACGGTATCATACTTTCGTCGATTGAAAAATTTGTTCTTCTAACCCACCATGTGTTTTAAATGTGGTGTTTAGGTGATCTACAGGGCGTTTCATAATATATTCACAGACTTCAAGATGTGATAGCTGGTCCAAAAATGCGAAGCAAAGTTTCTGTTAACCTATCCTCTAACATGCAAAATTTTCGACTAGTTCAAGTAAATCAAGTGCCCAGAATAGCCAACGAGTATGGAGATGGAAAAATTGACCCAGGAGCAGTTCCAGCTCGCAAAAACCGTAGAGAGGTGCCAATCCAAATTCAAGAAGGAGTTCGGAGGGTCCGACGAGCATCCCCGGAAACTAAGCACGAGATCATCAACAAGAAAAGGAGTGAGTTGGAATCACAATGAACTACGTTCAGGCAACGTCACTCACAGATCATGGCCCTGTCACAAGAGTCAGGACATGAATATTTCGCAAAGGAATTCGACAAACAAACCACAACCTACAACGAGTACCTTAACACCTGTCAACGGCATCTCCGGTGAGTCCAATCCCATCCGCAAGCATTCCGTCAATAACGCTGACTAAACCAGGGGGGCAAGGCTTACAAGAAATACCTTCCCTACCCAGCCCGGGTACCACAGAACCGCAAGTACGTAAATTGCAAAACAAATTAAAAAGGCTATGGCACTCATCCGGGACACGCAAAGCGAACTAGATCAGGAACCTGCCGGCAACTATTGGAAGTATGAAAGAGAGCACATCCGCAAGCTCTGGGACGCCATCCAAGAAGCCCACGAAGACATTATGGAAGTACCAGATACATTGGCAGAACACTACGAAACTGCCAAGGAAGCCGTGCGCCAAATCATGGTAGCGCTCGCCGACAAGGACTCACGAGACAAAAATAGCTACGAGAAAATTCCTCTCCCACGGATACAAATTCCGCAATTTGGGAGAGATTACGCAGCATGGACCAACGTGGAAAAAATGCAGCATTTGAAAACAAATCTAAGGGTTGAAGCTAGCAAACTGATACAACACCTGCCAATAAGTGAAGCCAACTACAACGACGTGTGGCTGCTGCTAACGAACCGTTACCAAAATAAGCGGTTGCTGCTTTCAAAGCAGCTAGACAACATCTTCAATCTGCCAAAAATTGGTCCAAACGCTCCAGACGTCCACAATCCATGACACAATTGCGGATAGTCTGCGCGCAATTAACAACATGGGTATAGAAACCGAATCATGGGGACCAATGGCTGTTTTGAGAACATCCCTACCAGCACCAAAAAAGATAGCATCACTTCAAGAAGTTTGGCGAATTGTCAACAAGGGAGCGATGGCAAATCGTCAAGGAAAACCAGTTGTGCTTCAATTGCCTAAAGCACGACAAAAGGACAAGGTGCACCAGTCCAAATTGTTGTGAAAATTGCAACCGACAACACCACAGCATGCTGCATATTGAAAACACTAAGGAAAATCGTCCAAAAATGGAGGTCTCAAGTTGCGAGAACTCTTGCCTTATTGGCCTCCTGACGCTTTTTCCACTCCACGAACTTAGCCATGGCGGTTTCTTGTCGTTTTTTGGCTGATTCTTTCCTTTTATTCCAACGCTCTCGCCTTTCATCTTCCTTTTTGATTATAACTACATCGCGTAATAGGAGTGCGGACCGTCTCTTCAAAAAGACAACTTCCCTTGCGTCCCACGTGACGTCAGGGGCGGCTACTATATATTTTTTCCAATTTCCAGTACTTAGGGGTAAGAGCCCTAAAAGGTAACGCGTACGCTAATATGACGAATATTCCGAATTAATAACTTACTTAAGGTGACAAACGGCTCTTGAAAGAATTTTAGACAACCATTGAAATGTAGATTAAGTTATTGCCTAATTAGGTTTGTACCGGAATAATTGCACGTAGTATAGGTAGGTAACCAAAATCCTAAAATTATTCTCGCTAACCAGCCCCACTGACTTAAATAAGTCTCTAATCACACGTAAATTATTATGTCCGTGGGAACGTTTTCTTTTCCACGACCGCCACTCGCCTCTTTTCTTGGTCCCGCTCAAAAATCCCTCCCATCACAAGTTGTGTATACACGCATGCGCTCCCACAACAGACACAGTGTCCTCCATCGGCCACACCACCCAACCGTTCCCGCCTCATTCAAAAAGAATAAATTGTTCATAAACATAATCCACAATTTCTGCAAATTTAGAACGCTACACTGTCTCCCTCCAAGGAAAGAAAGAATTAAACAAATAGAAATATACTAGTATTTCTATTTTTTAATTCTTTCGATATCGGCCATCATTTACACTAACGCACAATTAAATATACAATCACCCTTTTTACAAAACGATTAATCCTAGGCCCTATTAGTTGGCTACTGTGATATGTAGGTGTGATAACTCCGCGTATCATACGCCCAAAAATAGGGGTCTAATTCCGGTAAATCTATTCAGGCAAATGTCAATTTAAGGATACTCACATTAATTAAAAGTCGCGACCTACATTTTTTTCTTTTTTTTTTTTGAACCTTTATATAAATGAGCAGTAGCAATTACGCACCTCCCCAATCACATCCCGCAGTGTCACAACCTATGTAAATGCTTTAACATAATTGATTTAGCCGCTTGACGCAAATCAGAATCCCCTGATTCGAAACAAAACTTTAATAGCTCAAAATCAATAAGTGATAATGCTGACACCCGCGAGTGTAACATCGGATCCTTCACCTGGTGATCACTAACCGTCATAGACTCTAACACCTTTCCACCTACCCCTTTATTAGATGTACTCAACCTCTGGCTACTTCGACCTGATAGTGTTAAACTATCCATAGCGTAGTCATTAATATCTTTAACCCCTCCCTCCGCCATAAACTCCTGCAGGTAAGTAGTGTTGTCATTCACATCATCTAAGGTCGTATCATCTGATTCGAGTTCTATATCGTCTTGAATATTTATACTAGTTGCAACCGACTTATCATCCTGATCATCTACGTAGTCTTCAAACCCTCGTTCATTCTCCCCCAGCCATACATAAAGCCTAATCCTTCTCTCAATTAATAGATTTTGAAGATTAAATAGACGACCTTTCACGTCTTCTCGACCGTATCCATAAATCCCGCTGCCAAGCAACACAGTATCATAATCCCCTAACTCACATGCACCTTTGAAATATAACTCTAAATCGTCGAAACATCTAACTCTGTTGGTAACAATGTTTATAACTCGTCCAAATCGTCGACCCTCTGAAATTCCAAATACTAATTGATTTTGATGATAACGATTCTTATTCATCCTTTTCAAGGACGCCATTTCTGATATATAATCGCCAACGCTGTCCTCGCATACTTGTCTAGCGAATCCATCGTATCCTCGAGGGTCCGAATCACTACACTCAAAGTCATGTATAAAGTGTAACACGCGGTCTGATCTTTTTAACCATCCTTTCTTAAAGATAATAGGAATAGGCTGCTCTGCAAACTCAGAAACCATTGACTTAGGAACTCCAGCACCAGAAACGGAGCTACATGATTCAGCCCTCTTTGGATGTACAACATAGTAATTGTTAACAGGGTATTCTAACCGGACTACAACATATTCCAAAGTTCCATCTTTCTTTAACGCGTCACTGTGAGCTGGAAGCACGTCGCCACTCTTACACTCTACCGCTAAATACACCGTCTCTAAAACTGGACTTATTAACTCCATTGATTTCAGTTGACCAATAAACTCCAATTTGTCGTTTCTCTTGTACCCAATCGCGTCTTTCTTACCCTTAATCCACGCTATCATTTCTCTCTTCGTGCGAAAGTGACACCTTGTTGAAACCTCAGAAATGGAGCTGGTCGTATGATTATCATACATACTTCCATGACCGCACACACACGTCAAATACCCTGCCTTTGATAATCGAGACCTAGGAATAAAGCTTAAATGTAAAACTGTATTGGGTGGTAAACTACTAAAAGTGCCATTATTTACGCATTCTTCGTCTTGCCCTCGTTGTCCAACTTCTGTTCTAATAATAATATGGTGTTTCGTTTTTGCATTGCATAAGGTGACGTCGCTGTCTAGTAATTGGGTCGGAGCACTCATTTTTTGTCCTTTTCATACGTTACATCATCTCAATTGTGCAAATACAATGGCGCCCAACGTTTAGGGGCCTCCCAATTTGTTGTTTGAAGTTTATAAAAATTTTATATTTTAATTTTGGCTTACTTTTAAATCATCAAAATTTGTCAGAAATATTTTTGCATTTACTTAAGCAGGTAATATCAGTTTTAATAGCACACCTTATCATGGAGTACTTAGGGATGAGACCCGTCGACCTTTTGGCGGAAGAGTTGAATTATGAGCTTCGTATTCGTGGAGTAGTCTCTGATAGGAAAGATGCAGTTACTAAACGCAAAATTTTGAATAAATTGTTAGAAAAGGATAGGAATCGTTCGAACGTTACTCATGTAGATCCGTTATACGATTTTGATAACGAAGCTGAGATTATAGAACAAGCCCTAGATTCATTGAAAACTTTAATTGTAGAATTCGATGGTACGGAGACAGATTCTCTCTTTAAACGAATTAATTCTAGAATTCTATACCTTACTAATCGTGTCCACAGATTAAAAACTGATGGGGATGACAGTCAGGTGGTCCAAGCTTTTAAGAATGAATCCATTGCGTCAATTTTAGAATTGGAAGTTTGTCTGTCGGATAAAGTTGTTGCGAATAGCACGTTAGGAAATGTTAATCATACAGCTCACGCGTCCTCTAGTAATGAACAACCCATGACCATCCAACATTGTGTAAATAATTATAATAAATCTGTACCCGTTTACAAATGGGGTTTGAAATTTTCGGGAAAAGAGGGTTCTAGTTTATTATCTATCATTCCTAGAACAAGTAGAAGATTACCGGGTGGCAAGGAACGTTACCAAAACAGAATTATTTAATTCGGCCGTCGAGTTATTCTCAGACGGTGCCTTAGTTTGGTTTAGATCTGTTAAATCGTTAGTTTTGGATTGGGACCAATTAGTAATTAAACTTAAAGCGGAATTTTTACCATGCGATTATGAGGAGGATATTTGGCAAGAGATTAGGGATAGGTTTCAAACTAAGCAGGAGCCATTTCGTAGCGAATCAACCAAGTTAAAGTACATTCGTCGGAATTTATTGCCATGTTATATAACGTCATTAGCTCTTGTACAAATCAGTTCTATATCGGAATTGCTAGAGTTATGTAAAAAAATCGACAATGCTGATACCTTGAAAAATAAACAAAAGACGGCGACTCAAAATACAGTTAAAAGGCCAATAGTTAATGAAATTTCAACTAATGTTAGACCCATTTCAAACGAATTTCGTACGTCTACATTTAGTGGTACTAATACAAGACCCGGTGGTAATTCTGGTTCTAGGTCGTTTTACAATAAAAATTTTTCAAACAGTAGGGGAAGGTGGGATGTTTGGGTCATTTTTTAAAATAATCTGCATAATTATTGAAAATGATACAGACACCACTTCAATGTCAGACAGTTGTAATTAGTAACCTTTTAGCAATCACTTGTCCATAGTTATTGCTATATATTATTATTACATAGGATACTGAAAATTCAAAATTCTAGAAGTCACTATCTGACCCAAACCTCCCTTAATGTGGGAGGTATGGGTCAGGTAATGGGGTTAAATGGGTCACTTACTATTTGTGATGTTTTAGGTGTAAAAGGGCTTATATTTTTACAGTAAAACTATTTTTATTGGATATATTGCATACAAAGTTAAAGTAAACAAAGAAATAAGAACACAACAAATTCAAATTCTGAAAACAAAAAAAAAAATATCATGTGGCCATGAATCGTTAACACATCTAGTTCAGGTTCTTAAAACTACTTAGGTCAATATCAAAGTTGCAAAATTTTTGCGTTCTGTTGGTACCAGCTATGTTATTTGGAGGACTCAAACGCAGAACTATATCGCTAAAATCAACTTCTGAAATATCCGTTTCCTCTGGGTAATAAAATGTGTTTGAATTTGTTTTCCTTCGTAAAAAATTTATAACATAAAATCCTTGTTCGTTTACGTTTTGTATATTTCCAACATAATGCAGACATGTTCGTTTTGTGGTAAATTTAACAACTACATAATCGCCAACTCTAGAACAACTTGCAGAGTGATCAAAATCTTCAGACACACGGTCATTTTCTGGATCGTATTCGGAAAGGTCCGAGTCCGGTAGTTCTTCACTAGAGTTCAATCGCTTTCACTGTCTGTATGCTTGACAATAATTTCGTTTTTCTTGTCTTTTCTGAGTAACCTCTTCACAAAGATTTCTTCTTTACTGTAAGCTACTTTTTTCAGTATTCTTTCATTTTCCATCTTCTATTTCATTTTTCCTCTGGCGTTTCTGTTCAAAAATTCGTGTGCGATCCTTTGCACGTCCCGATTGATCAACGTTCTAGGTTCGCCTTGGATTAAGCACACGGATTCAGGGTTAAGCAGTTTCCTGTGTAGAAGTTGTAGGTGTTAGTAAAGTAGTAAGGTAACAATGAGGTGGAAGCGTGTGGGACCCAGCATCATAATTTGCTTCTTCTGGTTCGGTCGTCGTAACTGCAGACATTTAGAAAATCATCAGCCGTAAAGATTTGGCATTGAAGGGTTAATGCCGTTTTCTTGAATCCTGATAATATATTTTGCCTTGAATTGCAACCATCAAAGCTGATTTTGGCCTTAAACGCCGCTATTGTGATAGATTGTTACGGTTTCGCCGGGATTCGATGTCATCCAAGCGGAAGAAGCTGCATTGTAGCGTGGCCTTGAACGGGCCATACACAGACACGTCCAGAGGTTGGAAGACGATGCTGCAATGCGGGCGGAAAAGTTAGAAAGGTGCACACCATAGTTTCTTTCGCCACGGAGATTACTTCTACATTGACGTGGCTTTCATGATTGTCAAGTAACAGCAGACAAGGATTTTCCTTGGTCACCATTCGAATACTTTGATAAAATGCTTTAAAGTGCGTAACAAAATTTTTTCCCTTTGTCATTTCCAGCCGGAATTTATGAGCCAATCCCATACGTGTTTCTGGTCCATAATAAGCATATGCCAAAAACTTTTTTCTAGGGAAGACAAAAACCGTGGATTGTTTCCCAGGGCTGCATTGATAAAGCCAAACACATTGTTACTAACGTGCCCCTTCTGCAGAGATAACCTGCCCTTACTTGTTTCTGGCCTTTTAACTGCTAGCACTTTTTGGAGGCTTTGGAACTGTGGTAACGACGTTTCATCGCCATTTATATATATTGCTGGAAGAGATTTGAAAATTTTTTCTAAAATATCACCCCTTAAATTTTTCCAAAGAATTGGCCAACAATGGGCATTAAAGCTTGTAGCCCTTCCTAAGCTGGTGGCTTCAGGTTGTCGTATAGCAATCTGCGAGTTGCGCTTCATGAAAACCTAGTAAACAATCCGTTTGCAGCTTTAGATTCTTCATTTTTGGATAACTAATTTTCTAAGCTTCACTGCATTATTGGTATTGCAAAACTCCCATTGGTCTCGTTTTGGTGGTTCAAACCGTAATGCATTTTGCTGCAGGTCTTGGCAAATACTCTGACAACATTGTTTCTGCTTCATTTGAAAACACGCGTCTTAGAATATGGATTAGCTACAAAGTAGTTAGTTCTGTTGGTTCTTCTAATGGCATTTTCTTAGCATTTTGCACGTGCCTTGCAAAGCTGACCTAGAAAAACCCTAGATTGGCAGCTACTTGCCTAGCTGATATGTTATTTTGAAGAACAAGTTGCACAGCTTGTGATATTTGCTCAGGTGTTTTTCTTTCTCTGTCAGTTTTCTGTTTATAAGTTAGAGGCATTTTGAATCTGTAAAGAAAATTAAATAAGACGTTTCACTAAAAGAAAGTGGGGAGGTTTGGGTCGACTCAAATCTCCCGCGCGCTACTGACCCATACCTCCCTCTCTTCAATATTCACAAATGTGCACCTCTCTTATTTATGCAATATGTTTTAGGTTATAATTTGTCGTTTATATTTGTAACTTAAATGTTACTTAAATCACAGAAAAAATCACAAGCACATCGTGGTACATGCAAGCTCAAAACAATGATCTACTTATATCAGTAATTTAAGTGAAACTTACCTGGAAATTGACTTATTTTCCCAATAAACTAAACACACGCGTAGACAAACATGAGGCTCTGTTTACAATGTCACCTATTAGTACCGCAACCAGTAATGCACCTATGAGCGGGATACATGTACCATACATGAAAATAAACCCAGTGACCCAATCCTCCCACGACCCAAACGTCCCCACCTTCCCCTAAAGACTCCAGGTCTCAACCCTTGTGTTGGAATTGTCACCAACCTAATCATACTTTTCGTAATTGTGCCGCAAGAAAGAATTAAAAAATAGATTGTATGACTTTCCCTTTTTTTGTTGGCTATAATGGGTGTTAACAGTGCTCAAAGATTTGGGAGCTGAGTCGTGGATCTTGTACTGAGTGTTGTTTGAAGGGGGCGCCAACCTGTCTTAAACCAACTTGCCCAATGACAGGTAATCGGACAAGCTCATAACGTAATGCAAAAATCGATCCTATTATTAATTTATTTAAACAGGTAATTGACTCGGTAGGTAAGTATAACTTGACGATGATATCGATAACGTAATTTTTGTGTTTCAGATGAATGATCATTCAACGGACTTCAATATTGGACTGATAACTCTAAATAACAATTGACAATTTAAGGACAGCACAACATTAGCAATTAATTCTAGGATGGACAATTAATAATAGACAAATATGCTTAATTTAAACAAATAAACTTGACATCTCCTTTCAAATTTTGTTATCTCAAACCTCAGAGCATTGTGTGAACCATTATCCACATGGACAGCACGTACATACAGGTGGACGGTGGGATGGCGGCTTATCACCATAGAATTAAAATCTTATCATCAGGAACAGCGCTTGTTATTCCGCAGTTACTTGTGCAGGTAATAAATTTGCGTCCCACGTGACGTCAGGGGCGGCTACTATATATTTTTTCCAATTTCCAGTACTTAGGGGTAAGAGCCCTAAAAGGTAACGCGTACGCTAATATGACGAATATTCCAAATTAATAGCTTACTTAAGGTGACAAACGGCTCTTGAAAGAATTTTAGACAACCATTGAAATGTAGATTAAGTTATTGCCTAATTAGGTTTGTACCGGAATAATTGCACGTAGTATAGGTAGGTAACCAAAATCCTAAAATTATTCTCGCTAACCAGCCCCACTGACTTAAATAAGTCTCTAATCACACGTAAATTATTATGTCCGTGGGAACGTTTTCTTTTCCACGACCGCCACTCGCCTCTTTTCTTGGTCCCGCTCAAAAATCCCTCCCATCACAAGTTGTGTATACACGCATGCGCTCCCACAACAGACACAGTGTCCTCCATCGGCCACACCACCCAACCGTTCCCGCCTCATTCAAAAAGAATAAATTGTTCATAAACATAATCCACAATTTCTGCAAATTTAGAACGCTACACTGTCTCCCTCCAAGGAAAGAAAGAATTAAACAAATAGAAATATACTAGTATTTCTATTTTTTAATTCTTTCGATATCGGCCATCATTTACACTAACGCACAATTAAATATACAATCACCCTTTTTACAAAACGATTAATCCTAGGCCCTATTAGTTGGCTACTGTGATATGTAGGTGTGATAACTCCGCGTATCATACGCCCAAAAATAGGGGTCTAATTCCGGTAAATCTATTCAGGCAAATGTCAATTTAAGGATACTCACATTAATTAAAAGTCGCGACCTACATTTTTTTCTTTTTTTTTTTTGAACCTTTATATAAATGAGCAGTAGCAATTACGCACCTCCCCAATCACATCCCGCAGTGTCACAACCTATGTAAATGCTTTAACATAATTGATTTAGCCGCTTGACGCAAATCAGAATCCCCTGATTCGAAACAAAACTTTAATAGCTCAAAATCAATAAGTGATAATGCTGACACCCGCGAGTGTAACATCGGATCCTTCACCTGGTGATCACTAACCGTCATAGACTCTAACACCTTTCCACCTACCCCTTTATTAGATGTACTCAACCTCTGGCTACTTCGACCTGATAGTGTTAAACTATCCATAGCGTAGTCATTAATATCTTTAACCCCTCCCTCCGCCATAAACTCCTGCAGGTAAGTAGTGTTGTCATTCACATCATCTAAGGTCGTATCATCTGATTCGAGTTCTATATCGTCTTGAATATTTATACTAGTTGCAACCGACTTATCATCCTGATCATCTACGTAGTCTTCAAACCCTCGTTCATTCTCCCCCAGCCATACATAAAGCCTAATCCTTCTCTCAATTAATAGATTTTGAAGATTAAATAGACGACCTTTCACGTCTTCTCGACCGTATCCATAAATCCCGCTGCCAAGCAACACAGTATCATAATCCCCTAACTCACATGCACCTTTGAAATATAACTCTAAATCGTCGAAACATCTAACTCTGTTGGTAACAATGTTTATAACTCGTCCAAATCGTCGACCCTCTGAAATTCCAAATACTAATTGATTTTGATGATAACGATTCTTATTCATCCTTTTCAAGGACGCCATTTCTGATATATAATCGCCAACGCTGTCCTCGCATACTTGTCTAGCGAATCCATCGTATCCTCGAGGGTCCGAATCACTACACTCAAAGTCATGTATAAAGTGTAACACGCGGTCTGATCTTTTTAACCATCCTTTCTTAAAGATAATAGGAATAGGCTGCTCTGCAAACTCAGAAACCATTGACTTAGGAACTCCAGCACCAGAAACGGAGCTACATGATTCAGCCCTCTTTGGATGTACAACATAGTAATTGTTAACAGGGTATTCTAACCGGACTACAACATATTCCAAAGTTCCATCTTTCTTTAACGCGTCACTGTGAGCTGGAAGCACGTCGCCACTCTTACACTCTACCGCTAAATACACCGTCTCTAAAACTGGACTTATTAACTCCATTGATTTCAGTTGACCAATAAACTCCAATTTGTCGTTTCTCTTGTACCCAATCGCGTCTTTCTTACCCTTAATCCACGCTATCATTTCTCTCTTCGTGCGAAAGTGACACCTTGTTGAAACCTCAGAAATGGAGCTGGTCGTATGATTATCATACATACTTCCATGACCGCACACACACGTCAAATACCCTGCCTTTGATAATCGAGACCTAGGAATAAAGCTTAAATGTAAAACTGTATTGGGTGGTAAACTACTAAAAGTGCCATTATTTACGCATTCTTCGTCTTGCCCTCGTTGTCCAACTTCTGTTCTAATAATAATATGGTGTTTCGTTTTTGCATTGCATAAGGTGACGTCGCTGTCTAGTAATTGGGTCGGAGCACTCATTTTTTGTCCTTTTCATACGTTACATCATCTCAATTGTGCAAATACAATGGCGCCCAACGTTTAGGGGCCTCCCAATTTGTTGTTTGAAGTTTATAAAAATTTTATATTTTAATTTTGGCTTACTTTTAAATCATCAAAATTTGTCAGAAATATTTTTGCATTTACTTAAGCAGGTAATATCAGTTTTAATAGCACACCTTATCATGGAGTACTTAGGGATGAGACCCGTCGACCTTTTGGCGGAAGAGTTGAATTATGAGCTTCGTATTCGTGGAGTAGTCTCTGATAGGAAAGATGCAGTTACTAAACGCAAAATTTTGAATAAATTGTTAGAAAAGGATAGGAATCGTTCGAACGTTACTCATGTAGATCCGTTATACGATTTTGATAACGAAGCTGAGATTATAGAACAAGCCCTAGATTCATTGAAAACTTTAATTGTAGAATTCGATGGTACGGAGACAGATTCTCTCTTTAAACGAATTAATTCTAGAATTCTATACCTTACTAATCGTGTCCACAGATTAAAAACTGATGGGGATGACAGTCAGGTGGTCCAAGCTTTTAAGAATGAATCCATTGCGTCAATTTTAGAATTGGAAGTTTGTCTGTCGGATAAAGTTGTTGCGAATAGCACGTTAGGAAATGTTAATCATACAGCTCACGCGTCCTCTAGTAATGAACAACCCATGACCATCCAACATTGTGTAAATAATTATAATAAATCTGTACCCGTTTACAAATGGGGTTTGAAATTTTCGGGAAAAGAGGGTTCTAGTTTATTATCTATCATTCCTAGAACAAGTAGAAGATTACCGGGTGGCAAGGAACGTTACCAAAACAGAATTATTTAATTCGGCCGTCGAGTTATTCTCAGACGGTGCCTTAGTTTGGTTTAGATCTGTTAAATCGTTAGTTTTGGATTGGGACCAATTAGTAATTAAACTTAAAGCGGAATTTTTACCATGCGATTATGAGGAGGATATTTGGCAAGAGATTAGGGATAGGTTTCAAACTAAGCAGGAGCCATTTCGTAGCGAATCAACCAAGTTAAAGTACATTCGTCGGAATTTATTGCCATGTTATATAACGTCATTAGCTCTTGTACAAATCAGTTCTATATCGGAATTGCTAGAGTTATGTAAAAAAATCGACAATGCTGATACCTTGAAAAATAAACAAAAGACGGCGACTCAAAATACAGTTAAAAGGCCAATAGTTAATGAAATTTCAACTAATGTTAGACCCATTTCAAACGAATTTCGTACGTCTACATTTAGTGGTACTAATACAAGACCCGGTGGTAATTCTGGTTCTAGGTCGTTTTACAATAAAAATTTTTCAAACAGTAAAGACTCCAGGTCTCAACCCTTGTGTTGGAATTGTCACCAACCTAATCATACTTTTCGTAATTGTGCCGCAAGAAGGAATTAAAAAATAGATTGTATGACTTTCCCTTTTTTTGTTGGCTATAATGGGTGTTAACAGTGCTCAAAGATTTGGGAGCTGAGTCGTGGATCTTGTACTGAGTGTTGTTTGAAGGGGGCGCCAACCTGTCTTAAACCAACTTGCCCAATGACAGGTAATCGGACAAGCTCATAACGTAATGCAAAAATCGATCCTATTATTAATTTATTTAAACAGGTAATTGACTCGGTAGGTAAGTATAACTTGACGATGATATCGATAACGTAATTTTTGTGTTTCAGATGAATGATCATTCAACGGACTTCAATATTGGACTGATAACTCTAAATAACAATTGACAATTTAAGGACAGCACAACATTATCAATTAATTCTAGGATGGACAATTAATAATAGACAAATATGCTTAATTTAAACAAATAAACTTGACATCTCCTTTCAAATTTTGTTATCTCAAACCTCAGAGCATTGTGTGAACCATTATCCACATGGACAGCACGTACATACAGGTGGACGGTGGGATGGCGGCTTATCACCATAGAATTAAAATCTTATCATCAGGAACAGCGCTTGGTATTCCGCAGTTACTTGTGCAGGTAATAAATTTGCGTCCCACGTGACGTCAGGGGCGGCTACTATATATTTTTTCCAATTTCCAGTACTTAGGGGTAAGAGCCCTAAAAGGTAACGCGTACGCTAATATGACGAATATTCCAAATTAATAGCTTACTTAAGGTGACAAACGGCTCTTGAAAGAATTTTAGACAACCATTGAAATGTAGATTAAGTTATTGCCTAATTAGGTTTGTACCGGAATAATTGCACGTAGTATAGGTAGGTAACCAAAATCCTAAAATTATTCTCGCTAACCAGCCCCACTGACTTAAATAAGTCTCTAATCACACGTAAATTATTATGTCCGTGGGAACGTTTTCTTTTCCACGACCGCCACTCGCCTCTTTTCTTGGTCCCGCTCAAAAATCCCTCCCATCACAAGTTGTGTATACACGCATGCGCTCCCACAACAGACACAGTGTCCTCCATCGGCCACACCACCCAACCGTTCCCGCCTCATTCAAAAAGAATAAATTGTTCATAAACATAATCCACAATTTCTGCAAATTTAGAACGCTACACTGTCTCCCTCCAAGGAAAGAAAGAATTAAACAAATAGAAATATACTAGTATTTCTATTTTTTAATTCTTTCGATATCGGCCATCATTTACACTAACGCACAATTAAATATACAATCACCCTTTTTACAAAACGATTAATCCTAGGCCCTATTAGTTGGCTACTGTGATATGTAGGTGTGATAACTCCGCGTATCATACGCCCAAAAATAGGGGTCTAATTCCGGTAAATCTATTCAGGCAAATGTCAATTTAAGGATACTCACATTAATTAACCTTTCAGCACTCGCGCCTAATTTTAGAACTCCACTACTCGCGCCGGGTCTAGAAGACCCATACTGATTTAAAATAATTATTATATATATATATATATATATGCCAGTTCTATGGTTATTAATGGTACTCTTATGAGGCATGGCTAGATTAAGATAGAATAAACAATTTAAAGTATTATAATTGCTTGATTTTCCAAGAAATACAATCCAATAAAGAAAATGTAGTTATTTATACTTTTTAACAAAAATCAACTTAAAAATATTATAAAATACAACTAAGATATGGATATTGCTATAAGGCTTAAAAACATACAAGCTGCTTTTACAAAAATTAAGATCTAAAACTCTTCTTCATGAATACGTACACATTGCGGACACAACATTTCAGCGTGGCTTAAACACAGAAATTTGTTGCACTTCTTACAGGTATATTTTGTTTTACTGTCTTTAGAGCAAAAATGACACCTTTTTCTTGTCCCAGGTGGTGAGGGAGCTACAACCGTGGAAGAACTTATACCTGCTACTTCCTGTCTTCTCTCACGCACTCTTCGTGGGATATTTGTAACCTGAGCACGGCGTCTCAGATGATCTTCGGTTAACGCCAAAGCCAAATTTTTTAAATATAGTCTTCTAACACTTACGTTGCTGCTGCCATTTGCTTTAGCAATAATCTGGGAATTAATTCCAGCTAGGTTCATAAGTGAAAAGAAGATGACCATCGGCCAACGTCGTGTATTCCGTGCCACATTGTAAGTAGCACATAGTTTATCGACTGTGTCGACTCCGCCTTTTGTGCAGTTGTAAAAGGTTATTATTTCGGGCTTGAATTTTTCCCCCGTGGACATGTCGATTTTATCATCGTGGTGCATGCTCGAAGCAAGGATAACGTTCTTTCCCTTTTTTGGCACATAGGAGAGTATGGTTGTCTCTTCTTGAAAACCAAACATTGTTGATTGAAGAGGGCGAGCTTTGGTATTCACGAATTCAGCTGGCAGTTCTTTTTTATTCTTCCTCACTGTTCCCACTAGCGTTAATTTGTGATCTGTTTTAAGTTTTAAAATAAGAGGGAATGAGGTGAACCAATTATCACAAGTTACGTTTCGCCCAGTTCCTGATATGGGAGCAACAATTCTTTCAACAATGCTCTTAGCATCATTTGGGAAACAATAAGGGCCATCTGGTTGTTTTCCAACATACACCTCCAAATTTTGTGTGTACATTGTTTTAGCATCCACCAACGCAAAAATCTTTACTCCATATTTACTAGGCTTGTTGGGTATATATTGTTTAAAACCACAACGTCCCCGAAAAGCCTCAAGTTTTTCGTCAATCGTAGTGTACTCACTCACTGTATAATATTTTTTGCAATTTTCCACAAAAATGTCAAATAGATTCCTAATTGGAGCTAATTTATCGATTGCTCTACGCTGTTCTCTTGTCTCTTTGTCGTCAAAACGCAAGTATCTTAGTAAAAACAGAAACCTCTCCTTGGACATTGTTAACCAAAATCTTTCAACACCTGTCCCGTCTGTGGTCCACAATTCCTCAACACTAAGGCGACTACTTTTGAGGCATCCCGCCAAGTATAAGAGGCCTAACAGAGCTTTTATTTCAACCAAATCCGTAGGTTTTGCGTCTCTAGATCTGGAAAAATGATCAGCAACTCTGTTGATCATTTTGTTTGTATTTTCGACCAGTAATTCTAATATTTCCCTCGAAAAAAAGAGACCCCAACATTCCATAGCAGTCGTTGCATGCTTACCATGCGGTCTTACACCAGGCAGATGAATCACAATGTTGTGACGTCGGGTTCGAACTTTTCTGTTAGGAACAGATTTTTTCCAGACTGTTTGTCCGTCCTTTCCGGTAAATGAAGGCACTCTGGTCGTTTTTGAAGAACCTTCCTCATTTCCCTCGCTGTCAGATGAATCCGCGTCTTGCTCTGTGTCACTATTCTCTAACTGAGCTTCAATTCCATCTTCCTCATTTTCAGATTCCTCATCGATCGGGTCTTCATCGGGTTCTACTTCTTCAAACAGGCGTAGCAGGCGCGCCTGTTCTTTTTCATAATCCCCCATTATCTTTTTCGCAATTGCAATGCCTTGAACTACGTCGGTTACCAATTCAAATATTCAACTTTGAACAATTACTTACCTATTCTTCAAGAATAAACTAAATTTAACAATCCAGAAAAGTAACACATACAATAACACCACTACTCGCGCTGGGTCTGATAGACTTTATGCCTTTATAAAATAAAAACTAACGTACGTTTTAACCCGACACTTGACAATCGTATACTAAATGCGAATACATAAAGCTAGTCAGAGCCGCAACGCTCAGCATGATCTGCGCACTTTAAAATTTACACTCAAACACGCGTCGGGTCTGGGAGACTTGGCGCGAGTACTGGAAGGTTAAAAGTCGCGACCTACATTTTTTTCTTTTTTTTTTTTTGAACCTTTATATAAATGAGCAGTAGCAATTACGCACCTCCCCAATCACATCCCGCAGTGTCACAACCTATGTAAATGCTTTAACATAATTGATTTAGCCGCTTGACGCAAATCAGAATCCCCTGATTCGAAACAAAACTTTAATAGCTCAAAATCAATAAGTGATAATGCTGACACCCGCGAGTGTAACATCGGATCCTTCACCTGGTGATCACTAACCGTCATAGACTCTAACACCTTTCCACCTACCCCTTTATTAGATGTACTCAACCTCTGGCTACTTCGACCTGATAGTGTTAAACTATCCATAGCGTAGTCATTAATATCTTTAACCCCTCCCTCCGCCATAAACTCCTGCAGGTAAGTAGTGTTGTCATTCACATCATCTAAGGTCGTATCATCTGATTCGAGTTCTATATCGTCTTGAATATTTATACTAGTTGCAACCGACTTATCATCCTGATCATCTACGTAGTCTTCAAACCCTCGTTCATTCTCCCCCAGCCATACATAAAGCCTAATCCTTCTCTCAATTAATAGATTTTGAAGATTAAATAGACGACCTTTCACGTCTTCTCGACCGTATCCATAAATCCCGCTGCCAAGCAACACAGTATCATAATCCCCTAACTCACATGCACCTTTGAAATATAACTCTAAATCGTCGAAACATCTAACTCTGTTGGTAACAATGTTTATAACTCGTCCAAATCGTCGACCCTCTGAAATTCCAAATACTAATTGATTTTGATGATAACGATTCTTATTCATCCTTTTCAAGGACGCCATTTCTGATATATAATCGCCAACGCTGTCCTCGCATACTTGTCTAGCGAATCCATCGTATCCTCGAGGGTCCGAATCACTACACTCAAAGTCATGTATAAAGTGTAACACGCGGTCTGATCTTTTTAACCATCCTTTCTTAAAGATAATAGGAATAGGCTGCTCTGCAAACTCAGAAACCATTGACTTAGGAACTCCAGCACCAGAAACGGAGCTACATGATTCAGCCCTCTTTGGATGTACAACATAGTAATTGTTAACAGGGTATTCTAACCGGACTACAACATATTCCAAAGTTCCATCTTTCTTTAACGCGTCACTGTGAGCTGGAAGCACGTCGCCACTCTTACACTCTACCGCTAAATACACCGTCTCTAAAACTGGACTTATTAACTCCATTGATTTCAGTTGACCAATAAACTCCAATTTGTCGTTTCTCTTGTACCCAATCGCGTCTTTCTTACCCTTAATCCACGCTATCATTTCTCTCTTCGTGCGAAAGTGACACCTTGTTGAAACCTCAGAAATGGAGCTGGTCGTATGATTATCATACATACTTCCATGACCGCACACACACGTCAAATACCCTGCCTTTGATAATCGAGACCTAGGAATAAAGCTTAAATGTAAAACTGTATTGGGTGGTAAACTACTAAAAGTGCCATTATTTACGCATTCTTCGTCTTGCCCTCGTTGTCCAACTTCTGTTCTAATAATAATATGGTGTTTCGTTTTTGCATTGCATAAGGTGACGTCGCTGTCTAGTAATTGGGTCGGAGCACTCATTTTTTGTCCTTTTCATACGTTACATCATCTCAATTGTGCAAATACAATGGCGCCCAACGTTTAGGGGCCTCCCAATTTGTTGTTTGAAGTTTATAAAAATTTTATATTTTAATTTTGGCTTACTTTTAAATCATCAAAATTTGTCAGAAATATTTTTGCATTTACTTAAGCAGGTAATATCAGTTTTAATAGCACACCTTATCATGGAGTACTTAGGGATGAGACCCGTCGACCTTTTGGCGGAAGAGTTGAATTATGAGCTTCGTATTCGTGGAGTAGTCTCTGATAGGAAAGATGCAGTTACTAAACGCAAAATTTTGAATAAATTGTTAGAAAAGGATAGGAATCGTTCGAACGTTACTCATGTAGATCCGTTATACGATTTTGATAACGAAGCTGAGATTATAGAACAAGCCCTAGATTCATTGAAAACTTTAATTGTAGAATTCGATGGTACGGAGACAGATTCTCTCTTTAAACGAATTAATTCTAGAATTCTATACCTTACTAATCGTGTCCACAGATTAAAAACTGATGGGGATGACAGTCAGGTGGTCCAAGCTTTTAAGAATGAATCCATTGCGTCAATTTTAGAATTGGAAGTTTGTCTGTCGGATAAAGTTGTTGCGAATAGCACGTTAGGAAATGTTAATCATACAGCTCACGCGTCCTCTAGTAATGAACAACCCATGACCATCCAACATTGTGTAAATAATTATAATAAATCTGTACCCGTTTACAAATGGGGTTTGAAATTTTCGGGAAAAGAGGGTTCTAGTTTATTATCTATCATTCCTAGAACAAGTAGAAGATTACCGGGTGGCAAGGAACGTTACCAAAACAGAATTATTTAATTCGGCCGTCGAGTTATTCTCAGACGGTGCCTTAGTTTGGTTTAGATCTGTTAAATCGTTAGTTTTGGATTGGGACCAATTAGTAATTAAACTTAAAGCGGAATTTTTACCATGCGATTATGAGGAGGATATTTGGCAAGAGATTAGGGATAGGTTTCAAACTAAGCAGGAGCCATTTCGTAGCGAATCAACCAAGTTAAAGTACATTCGTCGGAATTTATTGCCATGTTATATAACGTCATTAGCTCTTGTACAAATCAGTTCTATATCGGAATTGCTAGAGTTATGTAAAAAAATCGACAATGCTGATACCTTGAAAAATAAACAAAAGACGGCGACTCAAAATACAGTTAAAAGGCCAATAGTTAATGAAATTTCAACTAATGTTAGACCCATTTCAAACGAATTTCGTACGTCTACATTTAGTGGTACTAATACAAGACCCGGTGGTAATTCTGGTTCTAGGTCGTTTTACAATAAAAATTTTTCAAACAGTAAAGACTCCAGGTCTCAACCCTTGTGTTGGAATTGTCACCAACCTAATCATACTTTTCGTAATTGTGCCGCAAGAAGGAATATATTCTGTTACAAGTGCGGTCAACCTAATGTAACGGTACGGCAGTGTTCGTGCTCAAAAAACTAGGAGTGAAGGATAATAAAGGGCTGTATTATCCTTGTCATTTTAAGCCCAAATCGTTAATTTGTGATAGCTGGCAATTATGGTTAAATACTGTTTCTATGTTTTACAAATCAATTTCGCCCGAGCAGATCACTGTATCTCCAGCTTTCGAGAAACAGCGCCTCGATAATCGTCCCTATATTAAAATAAGTATTTTTGATACAACTCTAGTTGCACTACTAGATTCTGGCTCGAATCGTTCTGTAATTGGAAGGAAGGGTATGCACTTTTTGGAAAGGTTTTCTCTAAAGGTGGAACCGACTCATACTAAATATATAACTGTCGCGGATGGAAAAAAAAGTCCAGTTGAAGGTGTAGTCGATGCGCCCGTTGTTGTAGATGGTGCAGTTAATATGATTTCTTTTTTGATAGTTCCGTCTGTTAAACAAACCATAATTTTGGGGACCGATTTTTGCACAAAATTTTGTATTTCCATTAATTTTAAAGACCAAACGTGTCGGGTTCGCAACAGCCACGGTAATGACGTAGAACTACAAGTAAATGAAATTGGTCAAGATTGCAATTTCGACAATAGGTGGTCCCTCGAACAATTATCCATTATCGAGGAGATACAGGCACTTTTCCGTGACATTAGTAGCGAAGATCGGTTAGGGCGTACAAATAAAATCACTCATGTTATAGATGTAGGTGACGCTAAACCTTTTCGCCAAAGGCAGTATTTATTATCGCCTTACCTAATGAAACATTTATACGGGGAGTTGGATAAAATGTTGGAGTTAGGGGTAGTTGAACCTTCCATCGGTTCGTATAATTCTCCCGTACTATTAGTTAAGAAACGCTCAGGCGAGTACCGCTTTTGCTTCGACGGGCGTACGTTAAATTCCATTACTAAACCAGACCGTTATCCTCTACCCAGAGTAGACCGGATTTTAAACATGCTGAAAGGAGCTAAATACATCTCTTCCATTGATCTAAGGAGCAGTTTTTGGCAAATTCCCTTAGACCCATCTTCTAAAGAAAAAACAAGTTTCTCTGTGCCCGGTAGGGGACTCTTTCAATTTTGTGTGTTACCCTTCGGCTTATGTAACGCGCCCCAAACGCAACAGCGCCTCATGGATGCGATTTTCGGTCCAAGGTTTGAGCCCAACATTTTTGTTTATCTTGATGATATTATTGTGATTTCATCTACCTTCGAACATCACGTTAAAATGTTAAGGGAAGTTCATGAGCGGTTGAAGGAAGCCAATTTAACCGTAAACCTAGCCAAGTGCGATTTTTTTAAAACTACCTTAAAATATTTAGGATTCATAATTGATGGTAATGATGGTGGCCTAAAAACAGATCCTGAAAAGGTCTCCACGATGGTTAATTATAGCAGACCTACTAACTTCACGGAAGTTAAGCGATTTATCGGTCTTTGTTCTTGGTATAGGCGATTCATCAAGGATTTCTCCACATTAGTGTCCCCTATTAATGATCTTCTCAAAGGGAAACGCAAGCGCCAAGGTATAATTTGGTCAAAAGAAGCAGAAGAGGCATTCCTAAAAATTAAAGAAGCCTTAGTTTCGGCACCGGTTTTAAGAAGCCCTGATTTTTCCGTACCGTTTACCATTCAGTGCGATGCATCTGATACTGGAGTTGGTGGAGTCCTCACTCAAGTGGTAAATCATAATGAAATAGTTATTGCGTATTGTTCGCGCACACTATCGAAAACCGAACGTAATTACACGGTTACGGAAAGAGAACTATTAGCGTTACTTTATAGTATAGAAAAATTTCGGCCGTACATTGAAGGAGTTAAATTCACTGTCATTACTGATCACCACTCACTGGTGTGGTTGAATCGTCTCAAAGACCCATCAGGTCGTCTTGCTCGATGGAGCGTTAAATTGGCGCAGTATTCGTTTGATATTGTCCACCGAAAAGGGAAATTTAACGTAGTCGCAGACGCCCTATCTAGAAACCCCCTGCCAAGTATCGAAATCATAAATATAAATGATGACTGCCCCGTTTATGCCCAACTACGGGAAAAGATTTTTAATAATCCCGATCGATTTCCACATTGGCATATTAATGATGGCCTAATCTATAAACACTTACCTTCAGGGCTACCCCTTAAGTCTAATGTAAAAGAGTGGAAGTTGCTAGTTCCTTCTGGACAACGACGAGATGTCATTCATGAGTTCCATTGCCCACCTACCGCTGCACACTTAGGGTTCTATAAAACTTTGAAAAGGGTGCAACAGTTGTATTATTGGCCTAAGATGAAACGCGACGTTTCCAAATTTGTAAACGATTGTCGTACCTGTGGTGCGCAGAAGGCGTCCAATACCGCTCAAATGGGGTTAATGGGGAAAGAAAAGCATGTTCAATTTCCATGGCAAGTTATCGCTGTTGATATCATGGGACCCTTACCGCGATCATCTAAGGGAAATGCGTACTTATTGGTTGTTAGCGACTGGTTTAGCAAGTATACCCTTTTGTGTCCGATGCGTGAAGCTACTGCAGAACGCATTATCAAGTTCATAGAAGATGATGTTTTTCTTGTATATGGAGTGCCGCAGTTTATTATCTGCGACAACGGTACTCAGTTCGCGGGAAGAAAATTTAAAGCGTTGGTGGATAGTTATAAAATTAAAAAAATATGGTTCAATGCGAGGTATCATCCTCAAGTAAATTTTGTGGAAAGGTCTAACCGTACCATTGCAACTGCCATACGCAGTTACATTGAAGATAATTATACAGTCTGGGACAAAAACGTTCCCAAAATTCAGTTCGCCTTAAATTCAGCAACTCATGAGGTTACCGGTTTTACTCCCTATTTTTTAAATTTTGGTAGAATTAGTTGTATTAGTGGTGATTATTATGGGAAGATACCTAGCACGGAAGGTATTGAGCTGGCTCCAGCAAACCGTGACGAATATATTGAAAATATTGAAGGATTAAAGGAGATTTATAAAATAGTAGAAAATAAATTGAGTTTGGCTTATACGAGGAATTCCAAGTATTACAACCTGAGAAAAAGGGATGTTTCGTTCACGTTAGGCGATAAGGTGTGGAGAAGGAATAAAGTTTTGTCGGATGCCGCTAAAAATTTCTCCAGTAAATTAGCGCCTAAGTATATACTAAACATTATTAGAAATAAAATTTTAAATTTAGTATATGAGTTAAGTAATTTGGATGGATCCGACGCCGGTAAATGGCATGTTAAGGACCTAAAACCTTATCTTGGGTCAAATCCAGATGTCTCTGTAGGTTAAATAGTCAGTAGGTAAATAATTATAGATAGATATTTAGGATTAAGGTAGAGTAGTTATATGTAGTGGTTTCATGATTCGTGGGTTTTAATAGGGTGGAATAATAGGAATGGTAGATAAGCGTTAGGATTAGTTTTGGCAAAAAAAAAAAAAAAAATGTAGGTCGCGACTTTTAATTAATGTGAGTATCCTTAAATTGACATTTGCCTGAATAGATTTACCGGAATTAGACCCCTATTTTTGGGCGTATGATACGCGGAGTTATCACACCTACATATCACAGT